CGGCATGTTTATTAAACACAAGTTTTAAAAAAATATCATCTTTTACAACAATTCTAATTATGTCTTTATTTAGTCCTATATCACTTACTTCCCTTTGATAAATTAGGAAAACACAATTACTTCCCTTTATAAAACCATTGCATTTTGTGGAAAAGAATTTACTTTTTAATTACTTTGTTTTAGTGTTGGGAAAAAAAAATAATTACATAATTAGCGGGGATTGATCAAGTGCAAATGTTGTAGGTATTTTACGGATAAGCTTGGAGTATTATAATTGTTCATCAAATTGAAACAGGCGCGTTCGTTTAAGTGAGTGCAAAAGACTATGAATAAGTTGGGGTACTATAGTCGTTCATTAAGCTAAAACAGGTGATTCCGCCCCGGGCGTTTATGTTCGCGTTAGTGTTTTCTTTGTGTTTATGTGGGTTTGCGTTAGTGGTTGCGTTTTGATTTGGTTCGTTTTTGTTCTTTCTTTTTTCGTTTTTGTTTGTGTTTTTTTGCTTGGGTTTGTATTTGTGTTTTTGGTTTGTTTTCGTTTGCTTTTTCGTTGTTTTTTTGTGTTGGTATTGGTGTTTGTGGTTGTGGTTGGGTACGTTGTTAGGTTTTTGTTTTCGTTTGTATTTGTAATTGTGTTAGCGTTATGTTTGCGTTTTGTTGTTTTGGTTTTGATTGGTTGTGGTTTGGGTGGGCAATGCCGGATTTATGATGATTACTAAACACACAGGTGATGGTCTTTAACAGAAAGGTTTTTCACAGAAGCCAGAGCAGGGCCTGGCCGGGACGGCTAGTACTTTATACACCTTAAACAACCTCTGACCCCTTCACTGCACCTCTACGGTGCAAGGCGGTGCGAAAAACCTGACATGAAGTTAACAAATCGCACGGAACACCCAGTGGCATCCGCGGTATGCAAAGAAAGGCGTCGTTCACAGTAGATTAAATACACAACAGTCGTGTTGTCCTGTTTGAAAACATGCACCTATCAACCAGGCTATCACACGGGACCTTGCTGGGGACACGTAGGGTTCACTGTTAGAAACAGCGTACCGACTTCTCAACGATCAAAGGGACGATGGATTACTTTGTCGTACAATGGTGCCAAACTTAGTTTGAAGCGGTGCGAACAGCCTACTTTATGAAGTGCACTAAAGTAGGTTTATACGGTGTGGTAAGCACATGTAAAGACGTGCACTAAACCTATTTGCACGAAACCTACATTAATCTGTTAATAAACCTATTCTAGAAGTTGAATTTAACCTATTTTAAGCACTTCACTAAACCTACAATAAGTGGCCGCTAAACCTGTTCTAGAAGTTTTAAACTATTTAAAATTAGTGCCCTAAACCTATTTCAGACGCTGCTCTAAACCTACTTTACAAGGGCACTAAGCCCATTTAGTAGGTCCCCCAAACCCACTCTATGTGGCGCACTAAACCTATATTAATTAAGCAGTGCACTGAACCTATTATAAGAGGAGCGCTAGATCTAACTAGTTAGGGTTAAGGGTAAGGATGTAGAACTTAGGGTTAATCTTTATTTAGAAATAAACTAAATCTGTTTTCAGCGTCGCTAAGGACTGACTTTTAATTGTCGATTAAACCTAGTTTTGTTATTTTATCTCTGGTTTTGTAATGAATGTCTTTAATTTTTGTAAATATCAATCAAATAATTAGCCGTAATAATAAAGCGTTGTATAAAAGATAAGAAACAAAAAAAATTGAGATCAAACATCCATAATACATACGTAACACACAGTAACAAGATCTGTCTCGTTAAACAAGTTGTCATGTGGTTTGAGTTCGCCCCGTGCTATTTTTAAACCCGGTGTCGGTGTTTATTGACACAACACACCCGGTGACCCCACACCAATTGACATCCCCTAAACCAAGTGACCTTTCTCAAGGCCTTTTTGTTGTTCTCAAAAAAATCGTGCATTCGGTGTGAATAATTACTTTGTTTTGGATTTTTAAAACAAAGTTTATCTGGCTTACCATACTTTTTTGTTTTTAAAACTTGCCTAGTAAAAAAATAATCTGGCATGTAATTTTCCCTGTATGATAAATGTGTATTCATATACTCAAAACCTAACTTCCGTTACACTAAGTTACATTAATTAATAGATTAACTTTTCGTAACACCTGTTATTTATAATTTTTAAAAACGTGTTTTAAACAAATAATTAGCGGATAATGTGTATAGACCCTAGTTAAAGAATTATAATCTACATGGACGATAAGAAAAGATCATTCTTGAGGGGGGGGGTGTAGGCTGAGGTGTGACGTCCATTTAGGGGAGGGGGGTCTGGCTTTTTGTGACGATGTGTGACGGAGGGGAGGGGGGGGGGGGGAAATCGTCAAAAAAGCTTGACGTCATTTATGGATGACCCATTAGTCGTCGTGATCAATAACTATCTTGCACATAGTGTTTCTTCTACCGGGGGAGGAGGGGGGGGGGGGGGCGTGGGGGCACTTGAAAATTTGGGGGGGGGGGGGGGGCGGACTAAAATTTCCCATGGTAGCGGCGGACACTGGTCAAATTACATATTTTTTATGGTAGTCGTTGTTTGGGGATGTCTGGAAGAAACTCTATATGGTTTACACATCGCAGAGATTGAAAGGGGGGGGGGATGTTTTATCATTTGTGTTATTGTATAAGATGGGGCGTTGATTTGGTAAAGAGCACGGTCATAGGGTAAAACTGCTTATTTACATCATATAATCAGGGTTTATTTCAGACATTTTTTTCGGGGGGGGGGGGGGTTAAATTGAAACCAAGGGGGAAAGGGGTAAAATAATTATTATTTTATATACAAAGGTTAAAATTTTGTTATTTCGTCTGCGGTGGAAGGGGGGGGGGGGGGGGGGTGGCGTTGGCCGTAAACTAAAGTGCTAGGTTTTAGAAGGGGGAGGGCTAGGGAGCTAGATGGGGGGATTTAGTCATATAGGGTTAGGGTCAAGGATGAATTTATACTGTACAATTACAAGCAATTAAATAGTTTGGGCTGGGTGTTTCCTAGAAATACTATACAACTTTAGAGGCGGTGGTCTAAGGAATGTTATTAACGTTATTTAGATAGAACAGGGGCTAGATTTATAAAGTGTCACATTTTTGTGACGTATAACACGTGCAATGTTCCTCAAGGGCATCTCGCCTTGAGTCAGCTTCAACGTGCGTAGGTGAACTCAGCCCGGGGGGCGCGCGAGCTCCTGGTCACCCTAACCTCAGGCGACCTTCAGCGTCCGCGCGCACACGACCCTGACCTTGAATAAAGTCCAAACGTACAATTAATCCCCTCACCTGTGTGACGAAATCAAATGTTGGCCACGAGCTGTTTCCGACATGCCTGAGTTGAAACCAACAATATTTACCTTCCGGTTGTCACGGCTAATTAATTGTCCATTAATTTAATTAGTACATCCTCATCACGAACTAATGAGGTATATTAATTTATTTTTGAGAATACAGCTGTATACGACGAGCTTTTTGCGCTTCTTTGTATTATTTTTTTACGTTAGCCTGGGATTTCTTATTTTGAGACGCCGTCGAGGTCTTAACTTCACAGTAAGTTTTCTTACATTAAAAACTTTACGCGAAATGTTTTGCGTATTGTTATTTTTTTTTAGCATAAAAAATAGTTTCAAAACAAGCTTTTATGTAATAATGAAATAAAAAGGCGAAAAGAAATGACTTTCTTTAAATATAGAATGATACACTACTATTTAAAGAAAAAATGTTGTTCATTATGTTATCTATTGGATACCTTTATTAATATTAATAAAGATACCCGCGCTTAAAAATACATTTTATATTCATCCCATACTAGTTGTGTTTAGCAATTGACACCTACCCTTTCTACTTCTTTATCTTTTTTTTCTTCTTCCTCGTCTTCTTCTTTTTTGTTGTTCTTCTTCTTTCTTTCCGTTCCATATAATGAACTTATGGGTAAAACCACCCTTCATCAAAGACCTCTGTATGATATTATTTTCTCTCCGGATTAACGAGTGGGTGATATGCTACCTCGATAACGATGTGGTAAAATAATGTTGCATACAAAAAACGTTGGTCTTAGATCAAAACTAAATATATTTGTGTTCGCTAGAAGTATTATTATTTGCGGGGTTCTTTGCGAAATTTGACAATAACACCCTGGTTATCCCCTGAAAATATTCCACTGTTTTTCTACATTATTTAGCCTTGTATACATCTCAATCGTTGGGAGGTATTGTTCGTGGGGGAGGGGGTGTTCTGGGGTTTATGAATAAGGGATATATCTGACGAATCTTCTTCTTCGATCTTAGTTTTATTGTTAGAAAGGATTCTCTCCAACACAATTAAGTATACGTGAAATACGTGTCAACTGGTTATGCGCCATAAATTATAGGCCGTTAACTCTGATTTTAGTCCGCTATTCTTTTTTGATTGGCTTCCATAGCCTTTGTCCGTGCAAGGACATCAGGTGTTTGATTTTAGAGTTGTCTCTCCTAAAAGAGTTGCTGTCCCCAGCCTCATTTTCGAACTCGAGACTTTTCGGATTAGCAACCATGAGCTTAACCGACCCGACCACGAAGCGTGAACTCAATATCCACCAGTATAAAATGTGTTGGGGAGATGAAGCGTGAAGAATGAACCACCAGTATAAAATGTGTTGGGTAATGAAGCGTGAAGTATGAACTCAATATCCACCTATATAAAATGTGTTTGGGGAGACGAAGTATGAACTCAATATCCACCTATATAAAATGTGTTGGGTAATTAAGCGTGAAGTATGAACTCAATAACCACCTATATAAAATGTGTTGGGTAATGAAGCGTGAAGTATGAACCCAGTATCCACTCGCATGTCACTTTACTTGACTGATGCGATCTGCGGCGAGACGTCGCTATTTGGGTGACAGGGGGGAGGGGGAGGGGGGAGTGTCAACACACCTACCGAATTTTTGGTATAAATATCCGAGTCAGGTTAGGTAATCCAGGTTAATATAGGATTAGATGATGATTGTCTCCCCTCGCTGTCGGCCAGTAGGGGACAGCACCCTCTAGCCATTTCTAGCCTAGCGCGCACTACAACAGGCAAAATGGGCACGCGGGTAAGGACACAATTAACATAATTAGTTAATTAGTAGCCTCATTAAAGGTTGGTTTTAATTTAATTGCCAGGATGATGTATTTTATATCATCCAAAAATTCATTTTTACGATATTTTAAAATTACTTTTAGAAAAAAGAAAGCGGAAAAAAATCCACCTGTTATTCAATATTTATGAATCTAGATATTTAATGTTAAATCGATCAGTTTAGACGTTGTCAGTTTTAAATGCAATATCTATCAAGCATTTGGGTAATATTCTAATTCAGTTACTTTCCTTTACCGCGTACATACAAGCACCGGGGTAAAACATTAAATTTAGAGGTGTATTTCTTCGAATGTTTACTGTATCTGGCCAATTCGCCAAGAATTACCACTGTGTTTGGTCGTTTCGCCCATTTACGCTGTCAAATGATCAGTGTTTCTTCCAGACTTTTTTCTCCGGGGGGGCACTTGAAATTTTCGGGGGGTCGGTAGACTTTCTTCGGGGGGCGGGGGGCGGACACTGTTAAAAATATATTTTTTCTATATAAATTATATAAATTTCATTTCGTTCGGGGGGGGGGCGGTAAAAAAAGATATATATATATATATATATATATATATATATATATATATATATATATATATATATATATATATATATATATATATATATATATATATATATATACATGTGTTTATGTATATATGATGGAATACATATTTAATTGTTGCAGATGATTTCAGCTGTTCTAGCTTTTGCAATGTTGATTGTTGTACACTCGGCTGATGAGCTAGGTAAGTCACGTGATACTTGCTTGTCGTTATTAATAACAATATATATATATATATATATATATATATATATATATATATATATATATATATATATATATATATATATATATATATATATATATATATATATATATGTATATATATATATATATATATATGTATGTATATATATATATATATATATATATATATATATATATATATATATATATATAATGTAATCACTTTATAATTGAATATCTAACAAATGGGAGAAACTCTGTAACAGCAGGTTTGCTTACACCCCGCCCCCTCCCCCACTATCCCGCCCCACTGGTCTAAATAAGAGTCAGCAACAGTTGTCTTTCTTGATAAGTTCATACACCGTACGATTGCATTGAACTTGACCATAATCCTAACCTTCTCCCTTAAACCTTCCAGTCCTGCAGTTGAACGGCAACCTTGGCAGGTACCCGGACACAACGGTCAAACGTTTGATCCAGAGGGGCGTGGTCAGCCCTGTCCCGCGCACCAATGAGAGGGGCTTCCGGTACTTCGTCCAGGTCACACGTGACAATGTGGGTGAGTTGTCTTCTCTTTATTTTTCGGTAGGCTTTTGGATCTTTTAAGCACAAACATACAGACATGGTTACTCAGCAGTGTTTCTTCCAGACTTTTTTCTCCGGGGGTGCACTTGAAATCTTCGGGGGGGGGGGGGGGGGGCGGTAAACTTTCTTCGGGGGGGGGGGGCGGACACTGTTAAAAGTATATATTTTCTATATAAATTATACAAATTTCATTTCGTTCGGGGGGGGGGGGGGCGGTAAAAAAAATTCGGGGGAGCTTTGCTTCCCCGAAGAGATGCCTGGAAGAAACTCTGAGTTACTGACACATTTTGACACAAACCTGCAGCACATTTTGACACAAACCTAGCTTTCTTTCTCCATTAGCCTCCCATAACCTTTGTCTAGCCCAAAGACAGCAGTTGTTTGATTTTAGAGTTGTCTCTCCTAGTTGGCTTGCTGTCCCCAGCCAACAACCCTCATTCGCCCCGGGGATCCGAACTCGTTTCTTTTGGTCTAAACCACTATCACGCCGTCCCTCATGGGTCATACACCATACAACCATCAGTAACTCACAGCATAACTCCACCACCCACCAAGCATACTCTTACTATATTATGTATGCAAAACAATACATCGTCAATCAACGACTATCCTATCTTGATAGATAAAAAAAGTAAAATTCATTTTGGAGCCTGACAGTCTATGGGGCAAGTAAAGTAGAGTTCACCTGTTTCTGTGACATCCGCATATGAAGGGATAGTGTGGTCAGTGCTTGGCCCCCAGTTGCCTTTACTTTCCCTGGGTACCCATTAGAGCTGAGTGGACTCAGGGACATTCTACGGATTTTAACCCAGACTATCTTGATAGATACTTTTAAGAACTTGTTTAAAATCGATGACTAGTCTATACATTGGTGTCTGAGGAACTCACATTTGATAAGTGACCGCCTGAAAATGCACGTAATTAACGTAATTAAAAGTCGTTTTAAAATCGTTCTCCAGTTCACCAACACAACCTTGCTGACCTTAATTAAAATGACCTAGACTAATTGATAGAACATTACAGAGGTTTTTTTTTACTGAACGTGGGTTCGAAAAAAAGAGGTATGACATTATGATGAAGATTTCAAGGAGTTGTACCGTGTTTAAATGTATGCTAATGATATGCTAATCATATGCTAGGAAGGTGTGGGCAATAATGATTGACGACGTTGTCAAATTCAGCAGATAGACAGCTCGTGTCTATAAAAAATACAACCTACAATCGTTACACCTATGACTACTTCATTAAGGGGTCACCCATTTATGACGTCCACACGGGGGAAGATAGGGGGAGGGGTGGGGGGGGGGGTAGTTCTAAAATTCATGGTTTTGTGGACATTATTAATGGCTGAATATGAGACGATAGCTAACACGAAATTCTCCATGGGCTCAATTCCGTATATCGTCCCTGAGTCCACTCAGCTTTAACGGGTTCCTGGCTCACGTTTGGGAAAGTAAAGGCAGCTAGGCATAGTGATGATCCAGCAATCCTTTCATATTCCGAGGTCAGATTAACAGATGAGCTCTACTTCATCTGCCGTATGAACCGCCAGGTTCGAAACGGCAACATAAATGAATGATAAGGTAACATAAATGGACGATCACTACCCTGTACAAGACGCTGACGTGACAGTTGTCCCGAAATTACCAAGTGCATTAACATGTTTCTTGTGTGTAGTTAGCCAGTCGGCAAAGAGAGACTGCCATTAAAATTTATATTCAAAATAAGTTTATCTTTATGGGAGAGTTGCCTTTGTATGTTCAACTACTTCACTGGCTGTTTATCTGCTCCGTCAATCAAAAGCTGGTGTAAACATTTTGCTTTGATAACAGTTTCGTCAGAAAATACGGCGTTTATTTTTGTCTTCCACACGACAATTATTTATTTCCCTGATGTTATAAATTGCGGACATAAATAGGGCTTGTAAGTCTCGGTCTCTTTCGCTTAAAATTCGAAATCTCGTTAGCCAGGGAGAGATAAATTTTCGAACTAAAACAATTGTTGGGAACATTATTCTCATTGTTAACAAGAAAGATATCTAAAAGCATCCAGTTTCATTCAACCATAATCTCACAATATAAAAAATAAACACACAAAAAAAACATAATGTTTTGTAACATAAGTTCTCAGAATACACTTGTGAAAATATTTTAAACGACGATTTAATACTTTTTTAAACTTTTCAACTGTTAATCAGTAAAGTACTTTTAGCTTTTAAACTTATCCAGTTGGTGCATTACGTATACAAACTTATTCAATCAAGTACTTACAAACTTTTAAACTGTTTATTACTTTTAAACTGCTTATTACTTTTAAACTGTTTATTACTTTTAAACTGTTTATTAGCTATGTATATTTCCTTTTTGTTTCAGTCTTCATCCCAGGTCTAGGGTTCCAGTCCATCCGACCTCAAGGGACCGTTAAATTTGTAAGTCAATATCTGTTTGGTGGTGGGAGGGGGGAGCTATTAATTAGGATTTTAAATTCCGTAAATAAATCTTACCAAAGAAACAATGAAACTGGAGTTAAATTATATTTAAAGACCCTGTAATCCAACATCTCAACTAATTAGTTATAATTTATTCATCCATCATGACCATATAATCCAGCAGCTCAGCTAATAAATTATAATATATCCATCTACCAACAGCTCAACTAATTAATTATATTTTATCCTTTAATCAGGTCCAAATAATCCAACAACTCTACTAATTAATTCCAATTAATCCTCAGGTCCCTATAATCCAACAATTCTACTAATTAATTCTAATCAACCCTTTAATCAGGTCCATATAATCCACCAACTCAACTAATTAATTCTAATTAATCCTATAATCAAGTCCATATAATCCACCAACTCAAATAATTAATTCTAATTAATCATTTGATCAAGTCCATATAATCCACCAACTCAACTAATTAATTCTAATTAATCCTTTAATCAGGTCCCCATAATCAAAAACTCAACTAATTAATTCTAATTAATCCTCAGGTCCCTATAATCCACCAACTCAACCAATTAATTCTAATTAATCCTTTAATCAGGTCCCCATAATCCAACAACTCAACTAATTAATTCTAATTAATCCTCAGGTCCCTATAATCCAACAACAACGGATGACCCGCTGTAACCCCTGTAGCGTCAGACAGGCCCGACCCATATCGGCGCCGGCCTGGGTCCAACCCTTTGCGGACATGCCCATGGCCACCTGGCCCCGGGACCCCCTCGTCCTTGACCGGCGGGTCCAGTCTCCGCTTCTCAACCGGTTAATGCCGGCTCCGTCTTTTGAACGGCTGGCACCAACAGCAGGGATGTCAACTTTTGGTCGAGACACGTTTGAAAGAAGGTTGCCGTCTGCTAATTCTGAAGGTTCGTTAATTCAAGGTCCGAAAAGTCTGGCGAATTCCGACGGGCAAGTGAATGGATTTCCGATTGACGGAAGAGCGTCTGGAGTCTTTGAAAAACAAGCAAGCGGGCGGTCTTTAAACACACGAAACCCGGATATAATTTCAGACGGTGTTGTTTCAGGCCCACCGGTGGGTAGTCGCCCACCTTCGTTGATATCGGACGGACTTTTGCCGGATAATTCCGGACAAGGGGGTGGGGATATGGGTAAGCCTGACAGCGGTGTGACGGTGAAGCCGTCCACAACCACACACAAACTTGCGGCGACAACATCGACGGAAAGACCGAGCAGCGCACAGGAGAAAATAAACAGCTCAAAACAGATTCCGGTTTCGCTGTCGACGGAAACAACGACAGTCGCCGAAAATAGATTCACGACTACTTCCGGTGACCTACATCAAGGTTCAGATTAATTTCTTGTTTAAAACTCGTAAAATGACGGTCGAGTTTTTGCATCGAAGTCAAGTGCAGTTCTTTTTTTTTTAAATCTTCAATGATATTGACCTAATCTGAATAGTTCTTGTGCGGATCTTGAAGTAATCCAAAAAATGAAGTCTTGTTTTTGTGCAATGATTTGTTGAATAAAAAGGGGAGATAACCTATCAGTGGGTGGTGGGAGTTATCTTTTCACCCAATACAGAGTACTGTTAGTGATAGGTCTTTAGTCATGATATCAAGCTTAGGTCATAAACGGAATGGTTGGATTTTTGAATAATCTGTATACACGTTAGCGGAGGGGGGGGGGGGAGTTCTTTTAAAAACGTATAGTTTCGAAATGTATAGAACACGACTAAAGCCAGTTTAAAAACAACCTATAATTAATTAAACAATATATAACTGTATCAGTATAAGGAGTTCAGAGTCTTTTTTTAAAGTGCTGACTTATGAAAATCTGGGTACAATTAGAGGGGGGATTTCGATGAAAGATTATCCCAACATCTAATAAATTATCATTGTAGAATATCGATTACTTCTGAATGTTATTTGAACATAGCCTTTGTGTGAATGTTTTTTATGTAACTTAGCAATGTAGAGCTTCATAAACATTAGATAAACAGTTATACAATTTAGATAGGTATAGGTCTTATAACTTTATAACACTACGTGCAAAAAAAAAACCTTTTTTCTTTATTAACATTAGCAGATTTTTAGATTGTATAGTCTTTGCATAGATGGTGTATTAATCTTGCATTTTTTTAAAATAATTATTTATTGTACTTATTAACTTTTTTCTTTCAGAAAAAAAAGTATTTTTATTGTAAATATGTCTTGACTTTTTTCTTTCCAATTCAGTCAACTATAAAAAATTAACAAAATGTTTAACAAAAATGTTTAAATTATGAATATATTGAATTTATTCTTTCTGGCTTTATTTGTAATTGTGAATTTACTTAACATTAGCAATTTTTTTAAAACCCGTTTTATGCTACTAAGCACAACTTTGCTAACGACTTTAGAGTAGACGTTAACATTTTGTTTAACAGAAATTGGAGGAGATAATTAAAAAATAAAGTTCAGAAGCTGTTTAAATATTTTATTTATTGCTCCATACTATATATATATATATATATATATATATATATATATATATATATATATATATATATATATATATATGTATATATATATATATATATATGTATATATATATATATATATGTATATATATATATATATATATATATATATATATATATATATATATATATATATATATATATATATATATATATATATATTGACACTGCACCATGGTATATCTCTGTGATATTTTGTTACTTGGATTGGTTTATAAGCTCATATAATGTAACCATTTTATTTTGAAGAATATATTTATGTGTAAACAATTTCTAACACCATCAAGTGGACGACCAGCAGTTGGGTGATACGATAAATTTGACGGACAAGATATTTGACCATCATAGATAAGCAGTTGGTGAACTAAACGAACCATTTCATATTGGCACAGTTGTTTAATCGGATTAATTTTTTTTTAAATTTTGATTTCTAAATATGTAATGTTTCTCTATACTAGTAAATGAAAATAATTTCAGAGTTAGAGAAGGAAGCCTTGTTTGTGGCACCAGAAGGAAATATAAATATATTGGAGGCGTCTTTTCTCCAGTAAAAATCATGGAAAAGACATACATATATTTGCAAAAAAAATTTTCAGAAATAAGTTTAGCAGTTTATTTTATGACCCATTCACTCGCTTTTTATTTACATTTGAATATATATGTAACTTTAAAGAAATTTACTGTTTGTTCCTTAACAACTCACATTTACTTTTCAAGTATTATGTAATGTTGTTATTGTAAAACATTGTTGAAATTTGTATGATCTTTGTTGAAAAAAAATAAAATGAACAAAACCAATGTTTTGGTGTGATTTATTTGTTAATTTTCTTCTCAAAAGCCATGTTAATTTATAAAGGATGTCGATGCCTTCTCCCTGCTTGGCGAAAAATAAAATTTCTCAGCTGAATAGAAAACACAATTTATCAGATACGAAAATAAAAAAGTAATTTAAATAGAAAAAGTAAATTTTAGAAAAATTGACCAATTAATACAAGAAAACCTCTTCATAAAATTAAATTTTAAAAAATACTATCGGAATAAATATTTTTTTGCCTCCCCTACCCAGCCAATACCATCGATATATATATTCCACCCCCTAGCAACGCCTAAAAATACAAACTTCTTCTATTCAACCAGGAAGTGTTGCTTATAATTCAAAGAAAAAAATTAAAACTGAATTTGACACGTCTTTGACAAATGTTTTGAACTTTGCCATCAAACTACATGACAGATGACCTAAACGTTCAGTAGTGGCATCTTTCCCTAACGCTTAATTGATGACTAACCGGCCACATATAATAAAGAATGGGTTCATTAAAGCCGAATTATTGCGGCGACAGCTTGTGTCACGCCTCAAAAGCCTTCCTTCTTTTTTTTTTATTATACAAATTCTTGTAATAATGAGAGCTGTTTGTCATTTGACAGAAGGGGATTAATTTAAGAAAAAATATGATTGATGTTTTTTTTTTAAAAGTAAATTCTGATTCCCGTCCAATCCAAGTTTATAAAACTGTTCATGGTGGTTTCCCGGTCCGGTTTTTGAAAAAAAAATTTGTTCCTGAGTCATACCCACGTTGAGTGCGATCTATCATCAATTTGAATAATGCTAACAAATCATTTTGAAGTCTCCGATCGGTTGTGTTGGAGATTATTTTAGGGAAAACCGTGTAACCAGAGTAATAGCTAAGAGTGAAAAGAAGGGCGGAGAATTACGGATATGAACCTTAAATTAAATGTGGGTGGAGGCTGAATTAAAAAAAAAACAGCTCAGCTCACCTTTTCGTGCATCTTTACTGAATACATTCTAGAGGAAATTTAAAGATTCGTTGCATGTCTTTTAATGGCCAACCATACATTAAACATTTCTTACATCTACCAGAGAGGGGGTGGGGCGGCAAGTTTCGCCCCCCTCCCTCCCACTTCCGAACAAAATTTATATAGAAAACATTTTTAAGTGTCCGCCACCCCCCCCCCCCCCCCACCCGGGAAGAAAGTCAGGAATAAACACTGACAGCTACTGATTTGGCTTCTTGCCTGGAAGTTTTGAGTTTGGTTCACAATAGCATAAACTGTTCAACAAAACACAAGTATTATTTCAGATGCAGTTTGCAACCATACTTCACTGTATTTTGTTAATATAAATAACAATACTTATTTGTTACTATTAACTGAATACCTACATCATCAACACACTACTTTATATGTCCACTGTTACAAGATATTATTTGCTACATTAATCTGCAATACTATGCAGAAGAGCTAGCTATAAGCAAGAGTATTACATCCACTGTTACAACAATTTTTGTTTGAATAGAACAGAAAACCTTTTTTAATAACAATTTTTTACCTCCAAACGGTAGAGGAAAAAAAAGAATTTTAAAACTTCACTCATGAAAGCATAAACATTTTTATTTCAAATCACTTATCACCAGGTATGTTTGAAATATTTCAGTTGGCCTTATTAGCATATAACTGTGCCATTTCTGGATAACAGTACAATCAGTATGTTCTCAAAAATGTAAATTATTAAGAGTAAAAATAAATAAAATATTGACAGACAAACAATATTGCAAAAATGTAGCTGCTGAAAAATATACAAGGAACTGATTTTTAAAATATAAAAGGGAATTTAATTTCTACACTGAACACCAGTTAATGATGACATTGTTAAAGAAATAAAAAATTAAAGTTAACATTCACATCAGCAAGCATATTTAAACTGTGTCACACATTCTTATTCACACACATTTAAACTTTACCACACAAGAGCTACACAAAGTTAAACTTTAACTACACATGAGCTACACAAGCTTTAACTTTATTATAGTAAATGTTACATTTATCAACACAAAGATAAACTTAAACCACACAAGACACAAAAATCATACAATCATTTTTTAATTTTATACTTTTTTGGTCAGAGATTTCAATAATTAATTAAAATCTTTTCAAAATTTTAATCTTTCACATACAAGAATCACATAATTTGACATCCAAGTTCAGCAACTAAAACATAGCAGTAACAATAATTTCATGAGATTTTGTTAAAAAAAATGCAGTGGTCCATTAGAACTCATAGAAACAGTGGGTTGGTTGGTATAATATAATAACATTTTGTACGCAGGTTGGGTTACTAGTTACAACTTATTGCAGGTATGCGGACACCATACTATAACATATGGGAGGTTGGCTGACAATATACTATAACATAGAGCAGGTTGACAGTTAATACAGCAGGTCGGCAGTTAATACAGCAAAGTTGGCTGACAACATGCTATAACATGAGAGGTTGGCTGACAATATACTTTAACATAGAGCAGGTTGGCAGTTAATACAGCAGGTTGGCAGTTAATACAGCAGGTTGGCAGACAACATGCTATAACATGAGAGGTTGCTGGAAAACTTACTATAACATAAAGGAGGTTGGGCGACAACATATAATAACATACAGCAGGTTGGCTGACAACATACAATAACATAAGGGAGGTTGGCTGTGACATACAATAACATACAGCAGGTTGGCTGACAACATACTATAACATAAGGGAGGTTGGCTGTGACATACAATAACATACAGCAGGTTGGCTGACAACATACTATAACATAAGGGAGGTTGGCTGTGACATACAATAACATACAGTAGGTTGGCTGACAACATACTATAACATAAGGGAGGTTGGCTGTGACATACAATAACATACAGCAGGTTGGCTGACAACATACTATAACATAAGGGAGGTTGGCTGTGACATACAATAACATACAGCAGGTTGGCTGACAACATACAATAACATAAGGAGGGTTGGCTGTGACATACAATAACATACAGCAGGTTGGCTGACAACATATTATAACATAAGGGAGGTTGGCTGTGACATACAATAACAAACAGCAGGTTGGCAGTAAATACAGCATTGGCATCATCTATACTATAACATGGGTTGTTGGCTAACATTATACTATAACATATAGCAAGTTGGTAGAATATGCATTAGGTTGGCAGTATATTATACATCAAGGTAGCTGGCATTATACTAAAACATGGCAGGCAGCTTGACATACAGGTTGGCATCATATTATTAGATAACACAGGTTGGCAGTACATCTATATACAGCATGTTGGCATCACACTATGCCGTATGTCAGGTGGGCTGACATCATACTATGACATACAGAAAATCACAAGCCTGGAATAGAAAACAAAAAAATAACGATTATCTAGAAATTAAGCCATGTGAAATCACTCATTTCTAAATCAAGCTAATTCCTCCACTCCCAACAATAATTAAATGCTCCTTCCTCAGGCTTTGATGGTAAATTATAAATAAAAACAAACATTAAATAGAACAATTGTGACAGAACAATTTAGTCTACTTTAATGATTCTATACACAGGCAGACTTCTTTGCTGTATTTTTTATACTAATATATAGATAGCTGCATTTACAATAGTTCAGTTCTAATGAGTCAATTGATATAAATACATTTAAAATGTAAAAAAGTATATTTTAATTTCTATACCAAATTAAAAAGGGCATTATTTACCCAGCAACATTGACTTAGATGCTGGCCACTGTGATAAAAAGAGTATGTAACAAAACGTTGTGCTATCTCTTAATAATTTATATATAAGTATCCTAATATATAATTCCCGATGTGCGCACTTCTCTCTCTCTCTCTCTCTCTCTCTCTCTCTCTCTCTCTCTCTCTGTCCGCAAAATATTTTCGCCGGATATCACGTCAGAATCGGCAGCGATATATGGATACCTTTATACGGACTTTTGTTGAAAATAATATGTTAGATGTTTTAAATGTATAACCACAATTTTATGTAAAGAAGAAAAATAAAAAATAAAGGCGTATTCGAATTTAGAGAAACAGTTTTTTTTATGCAACAGGAAAAGCGTTTATAATTGTGAAAAAGAATGCATAAAACAGTGACGTCACTAATGTTTATACAATAACTAATGACGTCATCTGCCGTGTTTAGAAAAAAAGAAATGAACTATTTCATTCAAATTTGATTTAAATCTACGTACGCTATAAAACTTATACAATACAATTTTGCTCGGGCTAAACTTTAAAAAAATTCTATTAGGATTCTAGATCTAGAGATTCTAGATCTAGATGATCTAGATCTACGGAAAAACTAGATGTAGACCCTACCTAGATCTAGAATCTGTTAAAATAAAACATTTCTATACTAAATTATTTCAGGCCTTAATTACTTTATTGAAATCTGTGTTTACCTATGCAATTTGCTAATCTCTATAATATATAAAGCAAAGTTGTCGGGTGCCCGGCGCTTCAAATTTGGCAGGATCTTGCCTTGGGGCGACAGAACACGGGGACCGGTTGGCCAAAAAGTCTACGATGAGGGGGTCAAAACTGACCTCGACTGACCGGCGCCTTATATGAGCTATAACTCGGAAAAAAATGTCCACGTAGGAACCTCTTCATAACTCCTGAGGTCGTAGACCGACCCTCGGGCGAATTAATTAAGCTTTCAAATTCTCAATGTTTTCGAAATTCTAAGCGAAGCTGGGCAGCATGCCTAGTATATTATATTAGTACCCACGTTCTAAGCTTAGTCAGCTCAACAACAAAAATTACAATAGGCCTGTTCTTAAGAAAAAAAAATTGATAGCACCCTATCACTAGCAAATCTAGTTGGTAAAAATATGTTTAACAATTCTTTACAGTCCTATGCAGCAAAATGCGCATCTTCTGTGTATGCCATTTTATTCCCACTATTAAGTTTGAAGCTGAATTTTAACTAAAATGTTTAATGTATGGTAATTAAAAGTAATGCACCCACTTTCTCTGTGAATTACTTTTCGTTTGAATTTTTAAATGCACATGGCTTTTTTAAATTAAATTATTATTAAACAACATTTTTTTAAAGTGAGTTGTCTCCCTTCGCATTACCCTCCTCATTCCGGGCCCGGGCAGTAAAGGGTTAAGTTAAAACTTTACCTGACAAACCATAAGCAGGTTTGTGATTCCAAACTTCTGGGACAACTGGAAGGATGGGGTGGCCTCACAGTTCTCACTATGTTCAGCTGCCCCTGAGTCTAGGGTGTCTTGAATGTATTTTAAACTGATGCAGTCTTGCTAAATAAAGAAAATTTTTAAAAATAAAAAAAAAAAACATCTTCAGTAGCCTCCCCTGATTTCTATACAAATTTCACAATTTAAAAAGTGTGATGGCCCTTATTTAGTTAAGGGCAGGTTAAACCCCCAAATTGAAATTTAGGTGTTAGGACTTTTTTGAGTGATAAGGAAGTTGTAACTAACATAGTATATGAAAAAAATGCAAAAAAATCACTAAAAAATTATGGTTTTGTGAAAATATTTTCTAAAAAGTGTCATTTTTAGGGTAAAATAGCTCAAAATTAGCTCTCATTGAAATCACAATAACTCACCTTCTGTTTGTCAGAATAACACAATTCTTTAATATAGTGTAATATACGCAATTACAAAAAAGTTGAACTAAAACAATTAGAAAATAATAAAAAATGGATTTTAGCCAAATTTTTTAAATGTGAGACCTTAATTTTTTCCAAAAAGTAGGGAGTAGACTTAGCTTTTTTTTAATAAAATGAGAAGTTTCAAAGATATAGAAATTCTTTTAGTTCACCTTTACAAGCAGTGTTTAGTAAACATGTGTGCAAAATTTCAGCTAAATATCTCAAGTAGTTTTTGAGTTATAGTGATTTAACTGGTACTATTTTGTTGAAAAGTAACATTTTGAGAAAAACGCTAAATAGTGAAAAATATACTAAATTTGAAAAAAACGAGAAAAAGCGAAAACTATACCAAATAAGTCATTTTTAAAACCTCCCAGTTACATAAATTGCATCTGGGGCCTCTTACTCAGCAATAAGAACATCTATTTTAGTTAGTTTTTAATTTTTATGTTGCTAAATGTTGCTTAATATAGGTGAATTACGTCATTAGTCTCATTAATTAAAAAATTATAAAAAATACTAGCAATACGAAATTTTGCAAAATGATTATACAAAAATGTTCAGAATTGAATGTAGTTTCAGAAACAATAGATTTTAAAAAATCAACATTTCTGACTTAAATATGTATTTTGGGGGGGTTTAACCTGCCCTTAAAGAATAAATTTCACAATAGCCTCCCCTGATTACAGAACATTTATTCATTTTTAAAAGCAGAGTAGCCTCCCCTGATTACAGTAGTAATTTCACAAATGCAAAAAACAGTTAACTGTTAAATGTTATACATTTGAATGCAATTACTTTTGGAACCTGGCCAAATTAAACTGAGAAATATACTATTAATCTCCTTTTTTCAAAACAAGTCATTTGAGATTGATCTTCACACAGATTATGGAAATTTGTTAGGGATATTGATTTTGGGATTTTATATCTTTCTCATTATTAATTTAAGTATTTGCAGTGGAGTTCAATCAATTTTAAATAGAGGTCAATTTTTTTTTTAATTTGTGAAAAAGAAAAAAACAACACAATTTTTGTCTATTCTTAGCAAGTTTTCATTATTTTACGATCAACATAAATAGTTCTTTAAAACAAAATATTAGTTCAAAATGTTCCACAAGTACAAAATTAATGAAGTCCTGCTGGTGGATCACATTTGTGTAAAACCTTTCCAAAAAGTCAGCTGTCTTTACATTTTATCTTTCACTTTCACATATCAAGTAATTATTCATAGTTTAATATTTTATTTTAAATAAATGTTATACAAGGTGTTACAAATATTTGATAAAGCAAAACATCAATAACATTTCCAAGATAGTTTTTTTATGGTGTTAGAATGGTGTTTAAAACTCACCTCTGTGTCTATCCTGAGGCCACACTGGCATATGATGACACCTTTATTCTCTAACAAAACACCTCTGTAGACAAGTTTTCACACAACAATAAAGTTTAATAATGTTTTTTGGTTTGTTAAATTAAATATTTAAATAAAACAACTGATATTCCCTAATTTTCAAAAGATTCTCAAATTCTTTTTTAAACAGTTATTCTTTTCATCTAATTTTTTAAATTAAAAAAAAAGATTTGAAATGATAAAACCTTCAAAAAAAATATATTGTGTTTTATTGTAAAATGATAATTTACTTAGTACACAGTGGACAGAGAACATCTTTAGTGGTGAGAGCTTTAAGGTCCGAACACAAGGCTTCCTCTTCCTCCAAGACATGAAGATCACCCAGGTCTTGTAGGCTCAACAACTTTTGCTCTACAGGACACAAATTAATTTTTTAATTGATTAGAGAATAAAGTCCGTGTTTGAAATAAAGAACATCTAAGTTGCCAACCACAATACTACAGTATGTCATTCTTAAATATAAATCAGTAGAGATTTTATTTTTCAGCCTTTATTCCAGGATGTAAAAGTAAGTTAAGTTCTCTTTCACACTGTACGATTAATTATTAAAATAAGGTAGATGTTGTGTGTTGTATAATCTCTGTTTATAAAAGGAATATGACTGTCCCATAATGGTTCAACAGAAATCATGATAAAAAACGTAATGCTATGGTACATTGAATATTTTAATGTGGGATAGCCGGGTTGGATGGGAGAGCATACAGCTGCAAACTAGAAAGTCTTGAGTTCAAATACCAAGTTAACGTCAAAGTCCCTGAGTGCACCCAGCCCTGAAGGGTACCGGACTCACAATAAAGATATTAAATTTACAACCTCCGATGTGTCCATCCCAACCACCTTATAGATGAGAATGAGGCTGAGAAAAAATGATAAAACGAGGCTCAAGATATGAGGAAAATATAGCGTCTCTGGGTGGATTACACCCAGTCGCCAGGGAAAGGGTAGGCAGTTGGGCATAGTGCTGACCACACTATCCTTTACTATGCAGAGGTTGCTGAAACAACTTCCCTTTGGACAATTAGGTACAAATGAGTACTTTATTAATTTTACTATGTTTTAATGCTCTATGACAGAGTGTAATTGATTACCCTCCCTTTGAAGATCTCTCTTTATTTCCTCTTGTATATCACTGTAAAACTGAATGAGTCCATCGTTTAACTCCACATCTTCAGACAGAAAGTCCTAGGAAAAAATACAACATGAAATTAAGAACTGGCTTTAAGGACATAAGTAAATAGCAACTATATTTTTATTTAAATAGCCCTCAGATTTGTATTGTTACTTACTGAGTAGGTTACAAAATTCAATATTCAGCTTATATCAAGCATACTTGACAGGAATAGCGCAACAGATATAAAATAAACATGAACATTGAACTTGAGAGAAGCATAATATATGTAATACAAACTTAACTGCATCAACAAAGTTAAAATTCAACATTTAAATACTAACACTACACAGGGTTAAAACTAAACATCAGGCTAAAAAAATAATACAAACCTCACAGAGGGCTCCGCCATCCCCTCTCCTCTCCAGCCCCATCTTTCTCCACTCTTCCTCCATGATGGCATCTATTTCAAGCATTTTGTTCTCAATGCTAGAACCCTCAACAGGTAGGCCAACATTTTCATTGAGATCTGAAGCATCGAGACACAGATGTCTTTTTGATAAGTGATGCCTAGCTCTGTTCTCTCTTAGCCTGTCCAAACATCTCTAAAAAAACAAAAACAAATCTTAAAAACAGAAAAATGTATAACAATATGAGATAGATTGAATTATCATTACTAATAATAAAACCTAACACAAAAAAAGAACCTAACTTTAGTCTACTTTTCCTTTTTTTGAAATAGTGAACAAAAAAATGGGATTGAAATTTTTTTTAAATAAAACAAAAATGTGATTTATGAAAACTTGCCAAAGTTTTTTTAAAGAACTTGAGACTTTAAGGCATTTTAGGCCTACCAATAAGAAACCAAATTTAGTTTTTTCAAATACCTTTCTGTAAGTTTCTTTCCAAGGTGGTGTCCTCAGTTTATACATGTCTTGTCTCCTCACACTTGCTTCTAAAGTATTCTCTCTAGACATTTTAGATGGCTATGGAGAAACTGCTTAATAAAATAAAATTAAAATTGAATACGCCTATGTAGTTGATTTTAGCAGCTAATTAACTAATATTGTAAATACTAAATAGTAATTAGAATTTTAAGTTTATAAAAAAGTATTCATCGCTTATAGTAGAGTGATCGCTTGCATTATTGTGATGTATAGCATTTATTTTCTACTTTTTAGTTCAATCAGAAAACAAGGGTTTTTAAAAACTTTTTTAATGATAATTATTTTCTACTTTTTAGTCTTTGTCTGTTTGTTTGCATTCAAATCTTGCTATCGATTTTATCTTCTCGCATTCACTTTTTTTTGGGTAAACGAAGACAACTCGTAAAAAACACGTGCCTTTTCCAATCGACGTTTCTTCTGTCAGATTTGCATAGGTTTGTACACTCGCTCCTTCAGTAAGCCACAAGAGGGTAAGTACCGAACCTTGTTTTCATCAAATTACAATTACTAGGTTATGTCCCTTTTTTGTACAAATATATAGAGGTCTAAAATGATCAATAAAATTTTTCCATGGATCAATTTAGTAATAATAATAATTGAATATTGTATTGTCATCGGAAACAAAGCTTCCCTGAAAATTGCAGCGCGCTAGCAAACTGGGAAGTGCCAGAAATTTCGATCGCAAGATTTGATTGGAAAAACAGACGCGAAAGCAAGTTAAAGAAAACGTGGGAAAAAATAGCACTGCTCTCTTAATCTATAGAATCTACCTCACTCCCCAGTATAAAAAAATGCTTTTGTAATTATTGTAAGATACTATTAATTATTCCCAGTCGTATTTTCAAGTATTTTGCATGAAATGACAGCCGACTGTGAATAGGAATAGCTGCAAAAATTGCCCTATTCTTAGACTCTTAGACTAGAGACTATTCGGTAATCTATCGTTTTGGGTACGTAAAATCGCCAGCGGCTATTAATGTACGAAAACGTTTCCTCATTGTCAAGGCTTTAATAGAAGTATATTGTCATATGTTTGTGTCAAATATTATAGATAAATGACTAATAAACCTAAATCAATGGCTAAATATATCGATATAGGCCAGAAATCAACTTTAAACAGCAGTGTCTGAGAGCAAGATTTGCTATATAAAATTAATAATAGTATATAAACAGCAGCCATTTGTAAAATAGAGTGGCTTCCCCCTGAATCTGGCGCTATAAGCTTATAAAAATAAAACTTAGACAAGATGGCTGCTATAGTAAATGAGCATGGTTGCATCTGTTGGAAACATCGCTAGTCTTCATTTATTACGGAAAAGTTTTAATTCAATTGTTTAAAAACAGGTACATAAATGAAACAAAGAAACATTTTTGTATTTTAAAAAACATAAATCCTCCTCAAAATGTGAAATAATTATTAAAATTTAAGGAGTCACCTGTTTTTCACATTACAAGTCGCGGGCGATTTTACGTACCTAAAACGATAGATTACTATTCTACTAGTTCTAGAAATAAAAAAAATTAGAATTATTAATTAATTAATTAGTATGTATAATTAGGCCTACTACTTTTATTTAGCTAGACTAGATCTATACTATAATCTAGATCGAATTCTAGATCTAGGTCTATATCTAAGTAGAATCTAATTATTAATTAATAAAGCCTACGCTTCATGAAAATGATAATGAGAAATCTGTGTTGGTGTTTTAGTTACAATTTTTCAACTCACACAAACTTTATATTTATAAAAGCAGAATAACCTCCCCTTACATCACATATTTCTATGATGATCAGCACAGAATGGCCCAGATCTCAAGATCTAAATGACAACAACTGGGCATATCTTATAAATCTTAGACTCTTGTCTAGTCTAGGTCTTATATTTGGAGCGTTGTAGCCTAGATCTAGATCTAGCTAGAGTCTTAGACACATTTTTTACAATGTCCCCTAGATCTAGATCTGGTTGACATGAAACATATTATTTATTAAAAAATTAAATACAAACCAGGAAACTGGGACAGGAAACCAATCTCAGAATCGAGGATTCTTCTACTTACTAGATCTAGTGACTCAGTGAGTTACTAGATTCTAGATCTAGATCTAGATCTAGAAATCTAGAAAATCTAGCCTAACAGTAACTATTACAAGTGTAACTATTAACTAACTAGAAATCTAGATCTAATTTAAAATAATTTAAACCTTACTTACTTATTAAGTTAAGTAAGCTTATTAGGCCTAACCTAAACTAATGCTTATTTTTAACTTTAAGAAAAAACTTTAAGTTACTTTAACTGTTAAACTAAAAGTAAAATTTTGAAATTCAATTGGTTTGTTTTTTCTATTTTCTCTCTACTACTCTTACTTTTCTTCTGTTATTGAATTTCGATATAGAATTAGAATCTAGTCTAGCTAGACATTCTAGATCTAGATTCTTTTATATTTTAAATATTGCTTGGCGCTTATGCCTAAGGGCACTATTCACTGTGGCTATGGAATGGACCTAACTTTATTATACTTATAGTTTATGATGCCATGCAAATATATTAAATACATAGATCTTACTACGAGTTGGAGATCTAGGCTAAATATATCATAATTATTGCTCTAACCAGTCTAATACATTGATCTGTCGCAACAGAGTATTTCTTACTTTCCTATAAAGTGGGAGACCTGCTAATCCATTTTCCGCATATCTCAAATTTAGTTTTTATTTCAAAGCAAAACATCGCTTACTGGACAACTCAAATCTAAAAAAAGTCGTACGTCAGGGCACTTGCATGTCCAGTTACCAACGTAATGTATTATAAAACTATAAAATGTAAACCTCACCCAACGCAACCTATGAAATGCCACCGAAATCTCCCCCAGTCTTACTGAAGGCCTAGGCCCTATAGCTTTGCAAAGCTAGGCAAAATGTATACTTGCTGTAAGGATGTAATAAAAAAAGTTCCATGATCTGATCTTAATACTATTTATATCTTATAGAGTTTCTACTGCTATAAAAAGTTACTTAGCCATTTTCTTTAAGTTTAGTAATTCATATTTCATAATACTTTAGGTCTCTATATTTCTGTTTGTCCGATCCGTTCTTTATGTCTATATCTATCTCTATATCTATAAAGATATATCTATATATATATATATATATATATATAAATATAGGACTATAAGCCTATATTAATTATATTATATATTATATTGATTTACAGGCTTTTGTTTTGCTACTATAGAGTGGAATTAAAAAGCATGATGCCATAAAGGAGTTAACAACTAAACAAACAACCAGAATGGAGTATATAACACATCCTGCATCTGCTGCCTATTCATCTATTACATCTGCGTAGGTGTTATTTCAACTTTGTTGGTATTTATTAATTACCTTTAATAGCCTATAGATAGACCTACGCTTATTTTTAATTTGCTGCATCCCTGATAAAGATCTGTGACCCCTTTTGTTTAGGGCTAGAGTAGGTCTAGTTTACAGGAGCCGGATGTTGTTCCGAATGCGAAAAATGCCTGAATGAACTTATGCCCGATTTGGGGCATTTGTCCCATTTGGGCAAGTGTCCACTTGTGAAAAAGGCCATCCTGCTCACAGCATTTGGGGCGTTTCTTTCAGAATTTTGTCGAAGACCCCTTAGGTTACAGGGTGGAACTGTTATCAATTTTAATTGTGTTTCTATCCCTATGTAAATATGGCTAACCATAAAAAACTAGAGCTTTAATTACTATAGAAAAGTAAACTGAGGCTGCTCTTACTTTATCAGGTGTAAAAAGTAGAACAAGATAAGATATGCTGGTGTAAATAAAACCACTTAAGACAGCTGTAGAGAGCCTACTGCAATTAGGCACTGGGGATAGTCGGACAGCTTAAAAAAGTTTTAATGGTGATTTTAAAAGCTGCTTGTTAAAGAAGATACTCAGTGGTTATTCAGTTTTTTCAATACAACTGTGGTTTTATATACAGGTTTAGACCCAGTGTGATTGTATTAATTATATTTCAGCTTTTTCAATTTATTCTCAAGAAAAGAATCAATTTTTAAAAGGCCTGAACAGCTTAGGTTTGATTTAAACATAAAAAAAATTTGAAGAACTTTTTAGTGTTTTTTATTTTTTTTTTAATTTAAAATTTTCATTTACAAATTACTAGTTGCAACAATTATTTTTGTTTCTTTTTATTAAAAAATACTTACATGAATATTCTCTTTTAATTGTCTGTTCTTTTAACTATATGAAAAATTTTAAGATTAAATTATTATTATTTTGTGTTTGCAAACAGTGAAATTGTTAGGAATTTCATTTTTTAACTCTGTTTACTAACAATATATAGACCTATTTACTTTTCTTATTTCATGTTTTCAAAATAATGTGATGTCATTTGAAAGACAATTGGTTAACACAAAACAAATGGCAGATGTTAATTCAATAATCAAAAAAAAAAGGATACACTTAACTGTCCTTGGATAAATTTTATTAAAAACAACACAAATGAAATTACTGATTTTTAAAATAATTTTATTAGCTGTTTAATTTATTATTTAAATGGATTATCTCTCTTCGCTTTCTTTCCCAGAATATATTTAGTTACCTGGAATGTTAATGGAAAACCACCACCTGACAATTTTACTGATCTCCTTCAACTCAAAGCAGACCCCTTGCCTGACTTGTATGCCATTGGGTACGTTGCCAGTTTGAACTGACAAGCTTATTTTTTAAACACGTTTCTTATTCAGTTTCAATGCACAAGAGTTCTTGTTTTTTTCTTAAAGATTTATATTTCAATTTCAAAATTCCATTTGTTTTCACCTGTGACAGTGTTTTATAAATTTATATGAAAATTGTATTCAAATTTTTTGAGGTAACAGGATGATAGTTGTAAAATTTTCTGTTTTACGTAGGTATTGAGATAATTGACTTACTTGACTTTGACTTCACTTGTCCACTTTTGCTCCTTCAATTTGGTCCAGTACCTGGCCAATAATTTTTCAATCTCCCAAGACATCCCTGCTGTGTTCAGTTCTTTGAGAACATTCTTTGAATGTACACATTCAGGCCTAACAGTCCATAGAGCAAATTATGTAGAGTTAGTTTCTTGAACTTAGCCATTCTATAAGAATTAGTGAGATGCCTTTTCTTTCCCTGACTGGAGTCAGGTTCATCATTTGGCCTTGGTGATTTGAACTAAAACTCTTTGGTTAGCAGTTGTTTGCTACTCTACTCAACCATATATATACCAGTTATTTGTTACTTTGCTAATGTCATTGTTCACACAGACTGCAAGACGTGGGCTCCCACAACTGGGATGGCACCTTGTCATGAATGTTAGCCCCCACCTACTATTGTTATTAATCAGGGGTCTCCAAACCATGGCCCGCTGGCCGGATGCGGCCCGCAAGGTCCTCTTATCGGGCCCGCTGAGTTTTTTTGTCCACGAAAAAAAAGTTTGTTGGTGATGGCTGAGGAACTTCACTCAGAAAAATCAAAGACATGCTTGGAAGAAACTGGCCCCCAAACTGAAAATTGATAGTTAATGCGACCCTCGGACTGAAAAGTTTGGAGACCCCTGATATAAACTGTCCTTCTGATGGCAAGAAAACATGTTAGCTCCTCTCTACTCTTCTTCTTCATTGTTACTTCTAAAGTTGGAAGGGATTGATTTCCTCCAACACAATTCAGCATTGCGTGTTAACTTGTTATGTGCCATATAGGCCATTTACTTGGATTTTCTTCCATAGCCTTTGTCCATCCAAGAACAAAGAGTAGGCAGCAGTTTTTGATGTTGGAGTTGTCTCTCTTAGAAGGGTTCCTGTCCCCAACTATCAAGCCTCATCTGCCCGGGGGGTTCGAATTCAAGACTTTTTTTTTTGTTTTTAGCAACCATGATCTTTACCGACTCAACCACGCCGACCTCCTCTCTACTCAACCATATTAGTTTATTTGCTATACTGACGCTGGTTTTTTTCATTGTTAATGTCATTGTCACTGTTTACCCAGATTACAAGAGGCTGGCTCACACAACTGGGATGGTGCCTTGTCTTCTGCCCTTAAACCTCATAATTATGTTAAGGTAAATATCATTAAGAAGGGGACATAATCATCTTACATAGCAAAAAAAATTGTTAAGACTTTATAAAATTCATGCATAAGTCTTTAAATGAGTTATTATGAGTATATTAAAACCTCAATATTAAATCTTTTTCAGTGTAACAATTCAGATAGATTATATACAGTCTAAAACTTAACATTTGACAAAGGATATTTAAATCAAAAACAGTATTGGAATTGACTTTCAATTACCTAAAAAACTATGATTTACTAGATTCTACATTTAATAAATCCTAATACACCTATTTTTAAACTACAGATGCTTATCAACCATGCTCCTTTTATATACATGATTCACTTGTCTATACGTGAATCACCTCTCTAAAATGTAATTTATTATTATTAATTAACGACTGTGATGGTTAAATATTTTGTTAATTGTTTTATTAAAAATAAAAGCATTTAAAAAAAACAAAAAAAAAACACTGATGCCTATTATTTCATCCTTTTATGTTTAAATCAATAGGAGAAAAACAATTTTAAACTCCTGATGCAGAGTATTCCATCTTTTACTTCTATGCTGTTTAAACCAAGAGAAAATTTGAAAATGATTTTTATTATTAAAAAAACTACTGATGCCAATTGTTTCATCATTTACTTTTGAGTAGTTTAAATCAAGATTGAAAAGAATTTTTATTAAAAAAAAACAACTTTTGATTTTAATTATTCCATCTTTTACTTTTATGTTGTTTAAACCAAGAGGAAAATTTGAAAATGATTTTTATTATTAAAGAAACTACTGATGCCAATTGTTTCATCCTTTACTTTTGAGTAGTTTAAATCAAGGTTGAAAAGAATTTTTATTAAAAAAAAACAACTTTTGATTTTAATTATTCCATCTTTTACTTTTATGTTGTTTAAACCAAGAGGAAAATTTGAAAATAATTTTTATTATTAAAGAAACTACTGATGCCAATTATTTCATCCTTTACTTTTATGTCGAAAGATTATTTCATCCTTTACTTTTATGTCGAAAGATTATTTCATCCTTTACTTTTATGTCGAAAGATTATTTCATCCTTTACTTTTATGTCGAAAGATTATTTCATCCTTTACTTTTATGTCGAAAGATTATTTCATCCTTTACTTTTATGTCGAAAGATTATTTCATCCTTTACTTTTGTGTCGAAAGATTAATTTCATCCTTTACTTTTGTGTCGAAAGATTATTTCATCCTTTACTTTTATGTCGAAAGATTATTTCATCTTTTACTTTTATGTCGAAAGATTATTTCATCCTTTACTTTTGTGTTGTTCAGGTCAAAAGTCGACAGCTGGTTGGAATATTTACAATTGTGTATGTTAAAAGAAGCCGCTTACCCTGGGTGACCAGTGTGGAGTCTGAACTTACAAAGACAGGATTTGGTGGATATTATGTAAGTAGAAATACATTAGTTTTAGGCTGAGCATGGGGCGACACATACTAGGTTTACCCTCTTTTGATATAAATTGGCTCAATGGTGTTAATTGTCCAGGTGTGATCCACAGGGTAACAAAGGAGCCTCCAGTATACGGCTGGATATCTTAGGGACAAACTTAATAGTTGTCAATTGTCACCTGCCTGCACATCAGGAGAACATAAATGACAGACTCTCAGTAAGTTATTGGACCAGGTGTTGTCAGTCTGAAAGTTATTGGACCAGGTGTTGTCTGTCTGAAAGTTATTGGACCAGGTGTTGTCTGTCTGAAAGTTATTGTACCAGGCGTTGTCTGTTTGTAAGTTATTGGACCAGGTGTTGTCTGTCTGTAAGTTATTGGACCAGGTGTTGTCTGTTTGTAAGTTATTGGACCAGGTGTTGTCAGTCTGTAAGTTATTGGACCAGGTGTTGTCTGTTTGTAAGTTATTGGACCAGGTGTTGTCTGTCTGTAAGTTATTGGACCAGGTGTTGTCTGTAAGTTATTGGACCAGGTGTTGTCAGTCTGTAAGTTATTGGACCAGGTGTTGTCTGTAAGTTATAGGACCAGGTGTTGTCTGTAAGTTATTGGACCAGGTGTTGTCTGTCTGAAAGTTATTGTACCAGGCGTTGTCTGTAAGTTATTGGACCAGGTGTTGTCTGTAAGCTATTGGACCAGGTGTTGTCTGTAAGCTATTGGACCAGGCGTTGTCTGTAAGTTATTGGACCAGGTGTTGTCTGTCTGTAAGTTATTGGACCAGGTGTTGTCTGAAAGTTATTTGACCAGGTGTTGTCTGTCTGTAAGTTATTGGACCAGGTGTTGTCTGTCTCTAAGTTATTGGACCAGGTGTTGTCTATCTGTAAGTTATTGGACCAGGTGTTGTCTGAAAGTTATAGGACCAGGTGTTGTGTGTCTCTAAGTTATTGTAAGTTATTGGACCAGGTGTTGTCTGTCTGTAAGTTATTGGACCAGGTGTTGTCTTTAAGTTATTGGACCAGGTGTTGTCTGTAAGTTATTAGACCAGGTGTTTAAGTTATTGGACCAGGTGTTGTCTGAAAGTTATTGGACCAGGTGTCTGTATGTAAGTTATTGGAACAGGTGTTGTCTGTAAGTTATTGGACCAGTTGTTGTCTGTAAGTTATTGGACCAGTTGTTGTCTGTAAGTTATTGGACCAGTTGTTGTCTGTAAGTTATTGGACCAGGTGTTGTCTGTCTGTAAGTTATTGGACCAGGTGTTGTCTGTAAGTTATAGGACCAGGTGTTGTCTGTCTGTAAGTTATTTGACCAGGTGTCTAAATTTTTAAAGTTAGTTTTTGATCCATATTTTGTCTTATCAGAAAGTTATTGATTAATATTGCTTTATACTTTGTTGACCTAATTTTGTCTGTCAGTTGGATATTTACCTATATTTCATCTATTAGTAAGTTATTGCTGTATTATTGGTGTCTATTATTTTTTAAAGTAACTGATGTAGTCAGTTACTTTTCATGAATATATATTTATGTAGTGCTATGAATGTTTTTGTAGTATTTGAGAATAAATTTTATTTAGTAGTAGAAAATATATTTCACAATGAATGCTGTAATAAATGATGTCAAAATTGGATTTGTAATTACTTTTTTTGTAATAGTAAAACATTAATTAATCATTGTTTGTTCAAGGTGATTAATATTTTTATTGTTATTTGAAAATATTTCTTGTTCCTTTTTTTTTTTAGAATGTTGAGCAAATTTTGAGTTCACAAAAGTTTAAAGATCAAGACAGTGACAATATATTGGATCATGAGTGAGTTTTTTCCCCTGCCTCATTTGCCAAAAGTTTTATTTTTCCATTTATTTCCAAGTTCAGGTTTTTGTTATTTTGAAGGTAATTTGAAAACTTGAACAGGCTATTGTTGTGAATGATGAATAAAACCATTTGTAGGAAATGTTTTAATGGCTTTTCTGTTGTTGTTACCACACTGACTTTTCACACATTGATTTCGCTGTTGTTTTCGTTCTTAAAATAATCAACACTTAATAAAATAGGCCTACACAATTGTATCAATATTGTAATGAAACTGGTACATTTTTGTAGAACTGAAGTTTCATCATTATCTTTTCCTGTTTGTGCCCAAGACATGGGGCAGATGAAGTAGAGTTCATCTGTTTCAATGACCTCTGCATACAAGGGGATAGTGTGGTTAACACTATGCCCAGCCGCCTTTGTTTCCCTAACATGAGTACCCATCTGAGCTGGGTGGACTCTGGGACGTTCTACTGTTTTGAACCCGGATTCAAACTCCAGACATATGGATTAGCAGTCTAGCTCTCTACTACCAAACCACACCGCCCTTTATACCTGAAATTAAAAACCTGAATGGAAATAACTATTTTTTTCTGAAACATTTAAAAAAAAATTCTTTAAGTAATTGCCTTAAAATTGTAGTTATGATGATGCATTTTTTATACTAAAACTTTATAATTCTACTGTGTCACAATCATGCTAACTGATGAAAATAACAATTAATGCAATTGATTGCAGTTATGTATTTTGGATGGGAGACACTAACTTTCGAGTTGATAACACACCATATAAGAAAGCTGTTGAGTTGGTCAAACAGAGGAAATATGATGAGCTCTTACAGCAGGATCAGGTGTGTATTGTCAGTGTGAGAACAGGTGGGTGGGCTATTAGCTGTTAAATTAGGAACAGGTGTATGGGCTACTAAATTAGGAACAGGTGTGTAAGCTACTAACTGTTAAATTAGGAACAGGTGTGTGGTCTACTAAATTAGGAACAGGTGTGTGGGCTACTAGCTGTTAAATTAGGAACAGGTGTGTGGGCTACTAAATTAGGATCAGGTGTGTGGGCTACTAGCTGTTAAATTAGGAACAGGTGTGTGGGCTACTAAATTAGGAACATGTGTGTATTATCAGTGTGAGAACAGGTGGGTGGGCTACTAGCTGTTAAATTAGGAACAGGTGGGTGGGCTACTAGCTGTTAAATTAGGAACAGGTGTGTGGGCTACTAGCTGTTAAATTAGGAACAGGTGTGTGGGCCACTAAATTAGGAACAGGTGTTGTGTGGGTTATTAGTTATTAAATTAAGAACAAATGTGGAAAACTAACTGTTACAGCAAAGAAAAGATGTGTATGTTCATTTAAATAATAGTTGTATTGTCTTTTATCTGCTAATTATAGACTGTGTGTCTAGCTAATAGATGAACCCTCTAAGAACAGCATTTATCTTGGTTTTTTTTATTAAAGTGATTTACAGTACTCTATGTTTACAGTTGAAGGCAGTCATGAAATCAGGACTACTCTTCCCAGACTTTAAAGAGGGGAATATTGATTTCGCACCCACATACAAGTTTGACCCAGGAACTGATACATATGACACAAGGTCAGGTCAGCAGTTTGAGTGTTGTGAAGTGGGATGTCAAAAGTGTGAGGGAAGGTTTAATGTGAGGTGTATGTTAGCTGGGTACAACTAAACGCTGATGTACTGTATCAAACCTCAAATACTGTAGACCACCATTTACTTAGCTCTTGCTGTTCTAGATATGACTGTAGACATTTTTTGTTGGGGTCATCCATTTATGAAATCTACACAGATGACAGAGCAGTGTTTCTTTCAGACATTTTACAACAAGGGACGGGACTGTTAAAAAATATTTTTTCTATAGAAATGAAATATTTAGATGTATTTTTTTATTTTGTCCCTGAAGAGATGCCTGAAAGAAACAAGAACTCCATGGGTTGGGGTCTAAAATTGAAAAATTGTGTGTACATCTTAAATGGATGACTCCAGTGGTCTTTAGAACATCATCACACATTTGAATGTAAATCCTCTTAAAATTTGTATTCTATCAATCACCTGTATACCCTCAAATTAATATTTGGCATTAAGTACTCCTATATATTACTCAAATATTTTACTAAACTCCCATGTAAGCTCTCAAGTATTTGACAATAATCCTTCAAATATTGGACTGTAAACACTCAAATATTTGACAGGAAACCTTCATGTACTTAACAATAAGCCTCCAAAAATAGTAAACCTTTATGTACTTAATTCTAATCCTTCCTATATTTGACCATAAACATATTTTCTTTTAGTTCAAAGCAGCGAGTCCCATCCTACACGGACAGGATTCTATACTTCTCCCATGATACAACCTACGGGGACATCAAGGTCCAAATTGAACAGTTGCACTATAGGAGTCATCCTGCGTATAAACAGAGTGATCACAAACCCGTCTCCTCTCTCTTTCAGTTTAATGTAAGTTGTTTGTAACAAATTTTTTTCAGACATGATATCCGTTATACAAAAGTTTTCGCAAAAATCCTACCTTTCCCAGCAGAAATGTATGTTTATTTCACAGTAGAACAATTCCAAAAAATAAAATTCTGTTTTAATCAATTAGATTAAATAATTAAACTAGAAAAAAGAATTGTGTAAAAATTTAAATTTTAAAAGCATGCTGATTAAATTAGCAATAGCGTAAATAGGAGTACTAGGAATATATTTTGAGATAGATTTCAAGCATCTTGTATGCATGATAATTTATATTTCTTATGTTTGAAATAAAAACTCTTTCAGGCGCTGTCCAAAAACTACCCCAATCTAATAACCTTTGTATCACAAGAAACAACGTGGAATAAGAAGAAGGACAACATTATACGATATTCTGCAAGGAAAGATTTCAAAATTTTGTCTGGTGATTGGATAGGATTATATGAGGTAATATCTTAATACTTTTAAATCATTCATCTAATGCAGTTTTAGCCACTAATAGAGAAAGAAATTTTTGTTTGGTAAATTTAAAACATTGGGTTATAATCGCAAGATCTAAGAGGGCTGTGTTATATAATTAGCTTGTTACGTTTGCAAGGGAGATAACACCATGTTATAGGCTTAGCTATTTTTCCCTATAAGTTTAAAATTTATAAGTTTTTTTTAATAAATGTGTGAAATCCAATACAACCCTTTTACCAAAAAGCAATTTTGTTTTGTAGGAAACATTCCAAGATTTTGACTCATTTGTCACCTACAGCTGGGCTGGTAGTAGGCCACAGAGTGACAGCTCCGCCCCCATTTCTGTTGTATTTGCCAGTAGTCAATTGACTACCCTGCCACCAAAAAAATACGTCCTTTGCTATTTAACAAAAAAGGGCTCTCTTTGTGGTGTTAGCCAGCTTATAACAGTAAGAAAATTTATTAAATATTAAGTTATAGCTGTGTCTTAAAGATTTCATTCACATTTTATATTTTATTTCAGTGTTTTCTAATATCATAACTACATCATACAATTTCTTTGTAAACTTAATAGTTGTAAGGTTTCATAATTAATAAAAAATATTCTACTGAAGATATAACAATTTTATCAGGTGTCTTAACTACATCTTCATAATGAGTTGAGTTGTTTGAAATCATAGCTATTCTTAAACTATTTTATTAAGACTAGATTTATGTGTACAGTTGTCAAGAATTGTATATACCTCTTATATATTTACTAAAAAATGTTTATTATCAATGCTCATATTTTTCATGTATCTCTCCCTTCAACAGATAGCATAGTCCTAGTAATCAGGTGACTGCTGTGGATACAAGAACAAAACAATTTTGATTGTCTACCATTGTGAATGAGCTGAAGCCACCCCTTGCCATTAGTAGTGATTTTGTATGAAGTACACCAGTTTTTTAACTTTGATTTGGATACATTGTTTGACTGTTACATTGATTAGTACAGGGTATATGTAACCATGGTATACTATAGCAGCTATAGGAGAAATGGTTATTTTTTTTTTGGAGAGTAAAGTAATTTTAATTTAGTTTATCACTATGTGGTAAATTTTAGTTTTTTTTAATCTTACAACCATATGAAAAACTAATGTATCATCAGTACATATTTTAGGTCAAGGTGCTTTTTTTTACCTTTATTTTTTTTTTTGTGTCCTTGCTTATTTTGTAAACAATAGTTTTAAATATTTTTTCGTTAAAGAATCTTTTTATTGCCACTTTTAAAGTTTTAGGTTGCAAAAATATATTTACTACTATATGAGTTTTAATTAGAACATCATAAAAATTCTTAAGCCAAAAAAAAAACAAAATCATGTACATTTAAATTTTTAAATTTAAAATTATTTATTTTTCACTTTTAAAGCTATACTGAAATTAAAATAGTTTATGCTGTATTGCAAATAATTTTTATTTAGAAGTGATAATGAGTTAAACGACTTTGTACACAAATCTATATTTTTCAATGAAGAAAAGGAACACAGCTTACACTCTTTGCTACTCATATATTGTGTTGACATAGCATATTTGATAAATGTGTCACATGACCTGAAGCAGCATTAGTAACCATGTATTAGCCTGACCTGTGACCTTTATCCTACATGTGCATCATTATGTTGTCATACCAGTATAGATCTCACAGCTGTTATCAAACAGACCAGCAGTACTTTTATAACTGTCTGTTTTGTATAGAGATATAAAATGTTGTACTTACAGGGTCTGACTATTGGAACTTCTAATCTTTGTCTCATGTCTCACATACGCTAATCAAGATCAATAATATAAGAGAATAATATAACATAATAACCACGTAACCTAAGGCATTTGTTGTTACATTTTTACTTATAATCTCAGACTATTTTTTTTTAATGTGATTATCTGGGAAAAAAAGACACCTAATGGTAAAACAGTTTTTAAAAAATGTAAAAATTAAATAATTTTAATAAATTTTTATTTACTTTGTTTCATGAAAAATTGACTATATGAAACTGCTGAAAATATGCACAACTTTATTGGCATTCATATTAATGGCTGTAATTGGATTTAATTTTAAAATCAAATTTTTTAAAAATAGTTTTTAGATGACATATGAGAACTGTTTATTGGTTCTCTTTTAAAGCTAGATCTAATGTTAACAGTTTCAGTTGTTTGTGTTGTGTATGTAGAATCTCTATGGTCTATTTGTATGTCAAAGAATAGCAGATTTTCCCCACATATCTTGACACTTTTAAAAATGTTATCTATATGAACCAAAATTTTCAGGCAGCTTTTAAATATAAACAATTTAATTTTTTAAACTGCATTCAAATAGTAATACATATCTTTTTTTGTAAATTAACCTAATTTTTTGTGGTTTTATTTTTTTAACTTATAGGTCTAATTGTTTGTGGTCACCATCTTAGGAACTTGTGCTATATATATTTTGTCTTTTTAATTAAGAATATGAATTTTTTCATTTACTAACTTGATTATTTTCATTTTTTTTTTGCATCTGAATTCAATTTTCCTGCTTTTTTATCTTTAAAAAATTAGAGTAGTTGATTGTTTATTTTAGATAGAAGTGTTGTTTAAAATAGCCCACAATTATAATGAATGATAAAAATTGTTTTAGGAAATGAAGTAGAAAAGATGCATAGAGTTTTAAAACATTTTAGAATATCCTTACCGTTGTTGTATACAAGTGTGTTAAACCTCAGAAAATTAGGTTTTGAATATCATTTCATAATCTTTTTGTTGCAAAATTTTTCTATTTATGTTGTAAAGTTGATATTAGATAAATAGAAGAAATTATTAATAACAACCTCTGGAGGCTGAAACCACATTAAATATTTCTTTCTTAACATACACATATAATGTTTTATTATATGTATGGATATACTTTTTGCATTTATATATATATATATCATATTAATATGCGCTCACTGAAATTTTTTTTAATGTCTTTTACAATAAAGCACAAAATTGGTAAAACAAAATATTCTATACATTTGCTGTATCATTTTTTTTAGTTCAGTTTTAACTTAGTTTTTTTTTCTTAATTTTCATATTTTTAATTTGTTGTACATTTGCTTTTATTTCTGTTGAATTTTATTTGGTCCTTGTATAAAATAGAATGCATTTGTGATAAATGGGCTACTGAAGTAGAGCTGTTTAAAAATCCTAATGGTTTAAGTATCAAAATCAAGCATTCTTTAAAGGGGATTTTACATGTTACTTTTCGTTATTTACAATTGTGATATAAAAATAAATAAATTTCACTCAGTACTTATTAACTACCTTATGAAAGATTACCAATAAATGCCAAGAATTTTTTTTTTGCCTTCCCTAAGTTAAAGTTAAAATGTTATTGTTTATAGCCCCTAAAAAGGTATAAAATAGTGTATTTTTATAGTCCATTATAAAAATACAAAATATTTTGAATATAAAAACTTGAATAATTATATTATTAATCATGTATAATTGTTCAAAAGTTGTTTCAAATATATGCAAACTATCTTTAACTATTTTATTATATTATTCTTTGTTGCTGTGATAAGCTTGCCTCTGTGCTATACAAGTCAGTCTGTTCTGTATAATAAACTGGTCTAATTGCTTTACACTCACCTCAGCCTCCTATTTATTCTATTTAACAATCTTTTGCCTGCTCATTTCTAAGTCTAAAGACTAGTTTTGTATTGCTCAATAAATCTTCTGTCCCTGTACTGGGTGTTGACCTGATTTATTTGTCTTGTCTATTTTGCCCAACTTTCTGGTGATAGAGGATGATCACATTTAATAAATACTGCAGTGTATTGCATAAAACTTGTAGATATCTAGAATAATTTTGTTTTGTTTTTAACTTTGTATTTAAAGATAATTTAGAAATTGTTATAAAAAATATATAAAACCTTTGTCTCTGGGCTGTCTCTTTTACACTGTGTTATTGCCTGCATAGATTTATAGAATTTTTAATGTTAACTTACCTGTTTTTATCTTTATGCATTTTAATTTGAGAATCATTCTTCTAGCTTGCAATGAAAAAATAAATATTTTTAATAAAAGACTTATTTTCCTGCTGAATTATATTGGTCTTTTTTATTATACCCACTAATATTTAAGTTACGTTTCCTTAAGTTGAAAAGTAAATACTACAAACCTGTACACTCAGACATAGATATAGATCTATGCTTTCTATAGTTTTTTCTATAGGCCTATAAAAATCTGATTTTTTTCCCCCAAATTTTGATAGTTAAAACCTCTATGTTCTTTAATCGTATTATGGCCCTTTAGTTTGAAGTACACGATTGTGATAATTTACAACGTTAACAATAACAATAACAAAACTGGTCCGGGAATGATAAGGCAAAGTGCAACCCAAGTGTTTATTATTTATTTGTGTACTTTGATGGAATCTTCCTTGTTATTAATATTAAACCATGGACCTAGGCATATTATTTTATATACCAAATATAATTGGCAAGTATTTTGTAGCTTTCATTTCAGGACATTTCAACTAAAATAAAACTAAAACCGTTTTATAAAAGTTTTATTTGTTACATTTTAAATTTAAAAATTATGTAATTAGTAATTTTGTAATGTTATGTAATCTAAGTTATGTAAGTAATAGATCTAGAATAATAATATGTAATATTATGTAATAAAAAGATAACTACTAGAATCTAGACTCTAGATTTGATTTAGAATTAGATCTATTGAATATTTTTAATCGTAATCTAGATTCTAGATTAGATCTAAATCTATAATAATTAATAATTATTAATATTATTAATAAAGACTCAATAAAGAGTATTAGGGCCTATTCAATTATTCTAGAGAACATTATAATTTATATAGTATAAGTATAATATTATTAATAAAGACCTCAGAGTCTAGATCTATATACTTTTTTTTACTTAAGCCGCTTAAGGCCTATGATAATGATGTGTATTCAAGTGTATTGTGTTGTCTTGATGGGACAGGGATTACCACGATAAATACTTAAATACTAGAGGCAGATAGATCTAAATTTAAATAGTATAAATAGGCTATTAAAATAGATTTTAAAAAAATGTTATATACTTAACTTATACTAATAGTTATAGCGCTAGAACTCTTTGCTAGCTAAGTATATATATGCTATAAACCCTCAACCCCTGATGACCTGCCCGACACACAACTGCTCGGTACAGATAGTTTAAGAAGTGTTGTGTATGGTGTAGGAATCCTTAGCACTAGCAGAATGTCATGAGATCACTCTTTCCTTTCGATAAGCTTCTGTCTTTTGAACAGCCTCCCCTTCTATGTGGATGTCCACAAAGATTTAAAAAATAGTTCAATAGACCTCGTCAGTATTTATATTCAGCTTGTACTGTAAATGATAGGGATCTAGTGATTTTTTTTTATCTAAATCAAAATGTTGAGGAAAAAAATTATTTTAAAAATATAATTAACTTCAGTAAGTAAGTAGGCCTAGATAAGAAAAAACACATAGATGTGTTTTAAAAGAAAAGCTTAAGACGCAGTATTTTCTCTGCAGTTGAATGATGCATTATAGTAAGTCATCAAGCCACCTCAGGTAGGCCTACATGACCTCCATTTCTGATCTGTTCAAGGCTCACTTACCAAATAAAATAAAAAATCAATAGTGATTTAATTATCTGAACCCCCCCCCCCCCCCCCCCTGTACAAATGTTAACTTTTAATGACACTCATGTTCTCACCTCACCAGTGTGGACCCTTAATTGTTTTTTTTTGTATCTTGTGTAGATGTAAAGTCCATGTTTAATTAGACCCTTTACTTATCACAAAATTTACACTGCTTTACAGGTTATGTTCGTATCATGCTGGCTGCAGGAGCCTTCATAAACTATGATAATCCTGGAACATTTGTTGTTTTGTATACAACTTCAATAGCACTGGATGGTAAAGTTTGATTGATTTATTATGACATTCTTTCATCATCATGTCCCATCACTCCTGCTGGTGGAGTAAACTTTCATCTATTGAGTTTTCTGTCCATGTTAATTTTGTCTGTCCTTCTATAAGTGACCATATTTCTGTGGTATCTGTTTCAAGTTTATTATTTTTTTAATGGGCTCTTCAACTGCATTGGGGTATTTTTATGTTCTTAGTCAAAAAGTTAAGGTTTGAGGTTAATATGCACAGAACCATCTCATGATTAATGATACTTCAGGTGTTAAGGTTCAAACACATTGGCCCAGCTCTAGACATAAACATAACCTATAAGTGTATTTTATGTAAGTGGGGATAGGTTAAATTTAGCTCAGATAGTTTTGAATGGTTTTCCTTAGCTATGTTATCCAACCACCTCGACCTCTGATAGGTTGAGTTTTACCTTTATTTATTTATAGCTTGCTTATAGGCAAACTGCCAACTTTATATAAACAACATGTTCAATTACAGTTGATTCTGCTTCATCAAGACACTGGTTAATTAGGGCAGCCATTCATTTGGATCAAATTGTAAAGAATAAATCCAGTGCATTATTTTAACTTTGCATATTCGGGTCAGTTACTTAAGTTTGGGGGAAATGTTTCTGTCAGGAAGTACCCTGATTTAGCAGAATCAGCTATGTTTGTTTTTGGAGAAATAATTTTTTTAAAATCTTTTAATCAAGGAATTGATGGCTACTGTGCTCGCAAGTTTAACCAATGCTCAAAATTTGGTGCTTGGGTAAGTCAGTTGTGGCTACTGTTTTTACTACACAAGTAAAAGAAAAAAGAAAGTAGGCCTACATTTTTAGGCGTGTAGGTTTATCGTGATGATGAAGTAGAGTTTGTCTTTTGGCATGGCCAGTACATCATCTAACTGTACTTTTCCAATTTTTTAATATCACTAACCCTTATGGTTTCATTACTCCTTAGTGGTAGCATTCTTTTCTATAAAATGCTGAATCTTTTATCTTGCTAGTTATTTTCTTCTAACTGATAAAACACTAATCTTAATTAAGCACCTAGTAAGCAATTTGATTTAAGTATCAGTTAATCTTGTAGGCTTACAGCTGAAGTTATTAGTTTTATAATTGATTTTTTTTTTATTCATGAAAACATTTTTTATTTTAGTTGGATGTTGTTGTTGATCTCTTCTCTAGGGGCTATTTATGGTGTGCTCTGTTTAGAGTAAGTAATAAAAACATTTAAATACTACAACTTGTATGAGCTAATATTGTTAAAATTATTTTAATTGTAAACAAATATGTTCCAAATTTATCAATCTTTCACTGTGAATCTTCCTTCAAGAATGGGTATTTGATTGTATTTTTGGAATGGGTGACTTTTGTCTCAACACATTACAGAGGGGAAAACTGGAGAACAACTGAGGAAAATTTTCCTTATTTGGTTAAAAAAGTAATGGATAAAGGTAACTTTTTTCTTCTCTTATTCATATTGCTCCTGTCTTCAGACAGTATTGTGGGCTGATTTTTACAGCTACAAAAATCTAATACTAATATTGTCAAATTATTTATACCTACCACAACTTCAACTAGGAAAATTTATAAAATATTTGAAAGTAATGAAAGATGTGTATTCTTCAGTTTTTTTAAACCAGTTTTAAACAATTTGTAATCAATTTCCCAGGTTTTAAAACACCTTTAGGCTTTTTGGCAGTAGGAAGTCTTCACATATTGCCACTTTGGCTGTACGGGTGCACATACCACGTGTTGACACACTGGCTTGGCTGGTCAGTTTATGTGCAATATGGAGTCATGGTTCTCCTGACTCTCGGAAGGCTGCTATGTGCAATAGTAGAGGCAAGTATCTCTGTTTTGTTATCCAGTTAATGTATTCATGGCTACACATTAGAGTTGTGAGGTTATTGATTATGTGCAACAGTAGAAGTAAGTATCCTGTTTGGTTAAACCAGTCTGTGTTCATTGAACACTCAAAAATGAATTTTGTTTTTGCAATACTAGAAGTTCTAAGAACACTAACTCAAATACACTAGTAGTCTCAGTATCCTTTATTTACACCTACATTAATAATTCCAACCTTCTTTCTGTCTTTTATCAATTATCTATCAGCCTTCTCTCAAACCTCTAATTCATTGCTTATTTGTCTTTTCTCACATATGACCAAGGAAAAATTACAGGGATGAACTCAACCCTCAAAAATACTAATTTTAAAAATGACATGAAACAAATAAGAGTTATTAAATCAGTCTCTGTTCATTGGCAACACAGTTATGTTTTTAGCCAGTGGGCTGATGGCGAACTTGTAAATTAAAAATTAACTGACCAACTTGTAACTTAGGAACCAACTGACCAGTTGCTCTTAGATTTAAACAAATGTGTCACAGGAGATAGGATTGGCCACACAATGTCCATCATGAATTGAATTGGATACAGAAATCTAACTCAGCTTGTGTTTTTCCTGCGTGCTTCAGTTTTCACAAATTAATAGGCTGTTTATTTTGAACTGATCACATTCCCATAGCCATTTATCAACCCTTATCAACTCCTTTAACTTACAACCTTTGCACTTAAAGACTGTTTTTAAAATTAATTAAACTGAGTAATTCATTATAAATAAAGTTTTTATTTACTGTAATATTTTTGTATATTTTTTTTCTTTGCAGCTCTTTTATGTGAAAGAATACATTATTTATTTGATATCCAACAACGTTGATGCAAAGGTCAAAACTTCTTGAGCACAATTTAAATCTCATCAATCCAAATAGGGGGTTTTCAATGTATTAATTTTGTAATATTAGTGAATGTGATTAAGTGGGCAGATTTTTTTAGCATGACATTTTGGCTGATTTTTTTATCATGACATTTTTATGGATGTTGAAAAATCCAATTTTCATCCTCTTGTTATATTTTTTGTATTATAGAGCAGTGCTTTCAATCTTGTATCAAAAGTATTTACATATCTGCACATTAAATCAATAATTTACAGCAGTTGAAATTTCATATGGTGGTATTTTTACATATATATTTCACAGTTAACATTTTTTTTCATCACCAGTTGTTATTTTTTAAAATTCACCCCCAGCTTACAGTTTGATTTGCTATATGTGTGTAATGGTTGTAGTTTCAACCTTGAGTAATTACACATCTTCTACCATCCAATGCTAAGGATAAGAGGGTTTTGTTAAAATTTTGTTATATTATACAATTTTTTCTGAGCATTGTTAAAATAATCTCTGGGAGCTTATGTTTGTGTTAAATTCAAGTCACTGTATGATATATTGTGATATTTTGTGTTTAAAATGTTTTTTGGAAATAATTTCTCAAAACATATTTTAAGCTAAAATTGTTTTTTGTCTTGGGGTTTCTATACAGCACTTTGATATTTTTAGTATTTATTAATTATCTAATTTTTTTTGAAGCACATAATCTTTTGTAGCCTACATACAATGAAATTTTCATGTTCTATTAATGTGATTCAACTCATTTTCTACACATGACATACGTTTTCAAAACCTCCATGACTTTTTTGTTTTATTATCATTTGTTAATCCAGAAATTCATGACATATTCTGATGCAGTGAGTGAGAAGAGTCGAGCGTTTCAGACTAAGTAGATCACATAAATTGTGTGTTAGCTGTACCTAGTAGGGTGTACATCATCATCATTTTTCCTCCTTTTCGTTCCTTGTGGAACATTGGGCCTCTGTAAAAGCTTTCCACTCCCCATTATTTCCTGTCACTCTCTTCAACTGTTCGCATTTCCTTTCTATTCTTTCTGCCTTTTCCAGCCAGCTTTCTTGTCAATTTGGGTGTACAAAGGTAAATTTTAAAAAAGATTAAGCTTATCAGATCTCAAGTACATAAAATTGCTCAAAAATTATTTTTTACAACATTCTACAGTATTTTTAATGTTTTGTTATCATGTCACTCAAAACCTTATACTAAAATTAACTTATCAAATGTTCTTGACCATAGAGTTGAAGTATTTTTGTCCAGATTCTCAATGGTTTGTGTTAGACTAGCACTAAAATAAAAATTAACCCTTGTGTATTCGAAATACTCAATAATGTGGTGCATATTTTCATTGTTTTGTAAGATTTTATCTTAATTTAAGTATGGAATATTTATGGTGCATTAATGTAAAAGAATTATGCATAGTTGTTAAAAACTGGAATGCATTTATTGACAAAATATAGACATTTCTTTTTAAGTTTTTTTGTCGTTATATTTCTACTAGGAATTTTTTTTTATAAAGGTCTAAAAGACACAAACTTATTGACTACACTGACAACAAATGTTAACTCAGGACGGCAATGTTAACTTTTCATTTTTTATATTAATATTGACCTTGTTAACTGAAGATTTCATTGTCAACTGTTAATTTTATATTGTTTTCAAATTTTGTAAAACAGGTTTAATGTAGTTATTTTACATAAAAACAATACCAAGATAAATTTTTTAGACTGATTATTAACACCCAGTATTTGTTTTAAACAAAACAATTAAAAGAATTAGTTTTGTTTTCTACAATGCTATTTTTTTTCACTTTTTAATCAAACATATTTAAAATGTTAATTATTTTTTAAGTTTACCACAGATCACGCTGGTCAATGCTGAACTTTTTGTGGTTTCAACAGTAGCCAGATTTTATTTCTTTGTTATAAAATAGAAGTTTAATGTGTCCAGGTATTGACACTGGTCCAGATATTTTGAATTATTTTTTTAAATTTTAGAAGCCATTTTATTAGATTTATACGAACATTCTATTTAAGAAGCCACATTGTTATAGATGTATGATAGTTGTGATACATTAATTAGTAGTGACTAAATTAAAGCTAATATTAGATGTACATTTTAACAATGCTTTCTTAGCACAAACAGTTATTTCACAATTGCTTAAGTCAAAGTTCAGAGAATTTGTTAGTAGTTAAGATGTGTAGGTAACACATGCTTCTGAATATAAAAAAAACAATCAGAAAAAAAAGGTTTATTAAATTTTGTTTTATTTTTCTCACTTCATAAATATTAAATAATTACTTTGTTGATTTCGATAAATACCTGATAAATCATTTAAGGGAATGTATATGTGATTCTGTACCCACAGTTTTGCAGGTGATATTGTTACTGTTTTCAGAAACAGAAGAACTAATTATCTTTCGTCTCAAATGACCAACAAACCTAGTTTGGCTCTTAACTTTCCTTCCTTACTTTTTATAAAAACAAAAGTTGTTCCGACTTTTGCATTCAAAATTATTTTAGAAAAAGTATGCATGGATTTGAATATAGTTTTAAAGAATGTCTTTCTTGTATAAAAAATACTCATGTGTTATATGTTTGTAATATTTACATTTGTGGTTTTCTTGCATGAGTGAACTAGTATTACATTCCGGTGAACTATGTTGTAGCTCAATCTAATGATCACAGATTTCAGTCAAAATATTTCATTTACATTTAGTTGCACATTTAATTTTTTTTTAATTTATAAGTTTTCATGTAAAAATTATTTACACAAGTAAAGCATGCATGTCTTTTGTTCAATTTAATAAAAAAAATTTACCAAACTTTATCAGTCTCCCTCTGATTGTTTTATATGTATGCCAATATAGTAAGCATCTGTCACAGAATAAAATCTTACAAATGTATATATCATTAACTCACTTACTGTGTGTTTAGCAAAAAATGTATTTTATATTTTCAGTCATGCACAACAAAATTATGCTGAATAAATGACATTGTCAAAAAGACCTCCTCACAATACTGCTCCCAAAAAAAGCATTATGTTCGTCACATTGTTGGTTTTAAAAATATACAGGCCTATAGTTACTAATTATAGCATTCACTGTTCTATAAGAACTCTACCTACATACATAAAGTTCAACACAATTTGGTAAGCCCAAATTTGTGAACTTTTTTAACAAATTATATGAATCACATTTTTGAGATTTGAGAAAATCACTTTTTACATCTTTGTTAGAAAAAATTTGGAAAGCCCTGAGTTTGAGTTAATAAATAATGTGTTAGCCTATAGCTATTGTGTTGTACCCATCAAAACTTTTACAAAGCAGATATTTGAAAACTATATTTAAAAACGAAAACTAATTCCCATTTCAAACAATTTGCTTTTTAAAACAATTTTTAACTCTACTCTCTTGTCACAAAAAAGCTACACAATGCCACCCCTCTCATTTGCTGATATATCTAATTATATTTACCGTTACAATTCAACATTGAGTGTATTGACCACATTTTTTATTACAATGTTATTTATGTACAAAAAAATATCTTCAAAAAATTACAAATAAAGGCTAAAATTAATTTTCAAATACTTTTCAATTCTAAAATGCAAAAGTCGTCTCCCCCCCCCCCCCCAACTACTCCCCCCCCCCCCCCCCCCAACTACACCTTACAGCAAGCGTGCATAAAATCACAAAAGTCTTTGATTCAATCCTTGAATAATGTTTTAAAAACTATTTTAATTGGCTTTATTTAATTAATTAGTTAATAATTAGCAGTAAACCAAAAAAAGGGGGGGGGGAACTGCGATTTTATATCCTATAGGCCACGGGTTCCCAACCTGGGGGTCGCGACCCCCTTGGGGGTCGCGAAGGTCTTTCTGGGGGGTCGCCAACTGGTATACTAAACCTTAGTAATTTGAAACAAAACAAATATTTAGAAGAATTTTTGAAAATCGGCTTCATTAACATCACTGGAAATGTAATAGAGAAGAACAAAGCGCACTGTACAAAGTTGTTCTCAGTCACGAATCTATGAAATCTTCAAAACTAAAACGTCATTTGAGACGAGTCATTCGGAACACACCAAAAAATATATGGAGTTTTTTCGTCGGTAAGAAGCTAGATACTTGATCGAACAGGAAGTTTTCACCAGCATTAGTGCAAGCATCAAATGAAGTCGCGATAGAAAATGCCAAGCATTAAAAAAAACAATAGGAGAAAATCTCATCAAACGCTGCATGTACGTAAATGTTAAATAACACATTTTTATTGAAATTAAGCTTTCACCATTGTTTGCTTTTCAAGTTGATAAATCAACAGACGTGAGTTCGTGTTCGCAGTTGTTGGTCTGTGTCTATATTCATGCGGATGATAGCAAAGAAGTTGCTCTTTTGTGAAGATAGCATGGAGAAAATAAACACCTTTTTGGAAACTGGATGATTAAAATGGGTTAGAACGGCTGTGGGGGTTTGTACGGATGGCGTGCCATCTATGTTTAGCTCAAAATCGGGCTTTCAGAAAACAGAAAAGATTTTGCTCCCTAACCACTGCCCTAACCAATCGCCATCAAGACTTCATTGCTAATAAAAGTCGTAAATTATATAAAATCTGGAGCCTTCAAAGAACTGAGCAAAAACATTAATATAGATCAAGAGGTTCTGCTCTTCTACACTACAGTACGCTGGCTGTCAAACGAAATGTTGTTAATTGTGTTTTTTAATTGAAATCTGAAATCAAATTGTTCTTGAAAATGCAAAGGAAACAAGACTTTTTGGTATACTTAAAACGACATAGAGTGGTTGGAGAGAGTATCATACCTAGCAGATGTGTTCGAACATCAAGATAAGCTTAACCTGAAGCTTCAGGGAAAATGAACGAATATTATAACCTTCCATGATAATCTCGGGGAATTTTTATCAAAACTGCAAAATCGGTAAAGAAAATAAATCTTGGAAATATTGTAAATTTGAGAAACTCTGCAGTGTGGTAGATGAATCTGATTGTGAGATAATTAAAATTTTGAAAGAAGCGATTTCTGGGCATCTTGAATGTCTTGAAAACGAACCGCATCGCTATTTCTCTGAGCTGAAAAAAGAAGAATCTGCATTTACGCATTACCCATTCTCTTCTTCCCTTGATGTTGCCAGCATTCCCGATGAATTACAAGATGAATTCTTTGATTTGCAGAATGATTCCGAGTAATATGAAAAACTGCAGACACCATTTTGGTGTAGTATTCACCATTCATACCCAAACGTAAAATTGATTGACTTTTCGATAATATATTTTCAACACTATTCTTCGATTAAAAACAAAATTAAGATAATTATAATGACATAGGTTGGCGTTAACAAAATGTTTTTTTAATTAAAAAGTTAACCATGAAGGTTTAGTGAATAGTATACAATTTTACTCATGCTATTAAAACAGTTATCAAAAGTAGTTCATATTGAAAGTCTACTAAAAATCTTATTTTAGTGCTTATTAATTTCCATACTAATTTCGGCTTTTTAATTTTATGGGGGTCGCGGGTCACTTACTTTTTATAAAAGGGGGTCGCCACTCGAAAAAGGTTGGGAACCACTGCTATAGGCCTATATTTTTAATTTTTTCTATAGGCTTACAAATATTTTTTATATCGTTATTAGATCTAGATCTATGAAAATATCTGAGGACCAATAAAACAAATTGGTTTGTACTATAATTTCGCCAGTCTGAGAAATGCTGACTGCTTGGTTTTTAACTAGATCTAGATTAGATTTAGATCTAGAAATCTAGATCTAGATAAGGGACAAAAAAAAATCTGTGAGAGCTCTTTGATTAAAATGTTAGAAACTAACTTCATGTTGCCGAACAAAGTAATCGATCTTGAATACTTCCTTAACGTCTGTTTACAAATGGACGATCCACACAAATTTCAAATCTAACCCCTTGGACTTCAAGGTTCATTTTTTATTTATTTTTACTGTTAGATCTAGAATAGTTTTAATAACTGTTGTGAATAGCATCGAACAGGTTGGGCTATCGAAAGGTCTAGATCTTATTAAATGTTTTAAAATTGTGGGCAACAGAAACAAACAAATTACAAATGTTGAAAATGTCAGAAAATGTCGAAATGACGCTTTGCTTTGCAGTTTCATTAGTTTGCGGCTTTGGTTTTTACGGTGACGATGATAGATCTAGATCTAGGTAGAATCCTAGATCTAGACGATAGGTCGACGAAACTCGATTGTGTTGCGTGATTTTTTATCATTTTGTACGCTTTTTCTTGATTGTAATGCTGATGGATATATTAAAGTTTACGGTAATCTATCGTTTTGGGTACGTAAAATCGCCCGCGGCTAGAAATGCGCGAAAAAGTTGCCTCACTGTCAAGGCTTTAATAGAAGTATATTGTGATATATTTGTGTCAAATATTATAGATAAATGAATAATAAACCTAAATCAATCGCTAAATATATCAATATAGACCAGAAATTAACTTTAAATAGCAGTGTTTGCGAGCAAGATTTCCTATATAAACAGCAGCCATTTGTAAAATAGAGTTGCCTTCCCCTGAATCTGGCGCTTTAAGTTTGCAAAAAAAGAACTTAGACAAGATGGCTGCTATAGTTAATGAGCATGGTTGCATCTGTTGGAAACATCGCTAGTCTTCATTTGTTACTGAAAAGTTTCAATTCAGTTGTTTAAAAACAGGTACATAAATGAAACAAGGAATCATTTTTGTATTTTTCAAAACATATATCCTCCTCAAAATGTGAAATAATTATTAAAATTCAAGGAGTCACCTGTCTTTCACATTACTAGTCGCAGGCGATTTTACGTACCTAAAACAATAGATTACCAAGTAGACTTCACATGTCACATATTACTTCGTAGACAAGTTTCATAGAGAAATTGAGTTACCCCTGAACCTGATTTAAAATCCCGAATTTTCTACATTCTATACTTAACTATACTAGATCTATAGTATACCCTGACTATATAGGTATAGAATTCTAGTTAGAGTTAGGATTCTAACTTGATAGGGGGGGGGGGGGGTAATTCCCCCAGGGGAGGGGGGGTAATGTCCTGTAGCCTTATTGAAGACCTAATTTAAATCATTTCTTATTTTAGGTATTGTTTTTCATAACAGCAAAGATATTCCAAGTAGATGAGAATCTCTGGCCATTTTTATTCTAAAGACAATATATAAATATCAAATCAGAAGAATGGCTACAAAATCAATTTCAGTTTGGGTTAAAGCAGAACCTTTCAGTTATGGAACCATTCCTGTTGCTCCACATCCACGTTTAAATAGTACTGTAAGTTGATTTATTTTATCATCTATTCATTCTCACAATACAATTGCTTATATACTATTATTAGGCATAATTAGAGTACATTGTTACCAAAAATGTTAGTTTTTACTTGTGAGGTTGGATTTGTACTCTTAAACAATAGGATCTTATAATATCTGATTTATATATAACACTCTATTATTTAAATTAAGTTAAAAAATTGGTATTTCTAATAATGCTCATGGAAACCATTTTTTTGCTGTTTTTATTACCCTAATACTGACCCTAGCTCGGACCCAAATTTATGGTTAGCTTCTGTAGTGATTTATGCAATATTAAAAAAGTAAAAAAAAAAGCAGTACTGCTACATCGACATTACAGAAAATCTTTTAATGAGATTTTCATTGGACTTTGCAGAATTTTGTCCCGTTTTTTTTTAAAAATCTTATTGTAAACAAATGTGCAACTTTACATTTCAGAATATACGAAAAATAGTAATCTATTCTAAGAATAAAGGAAGTGCTGGGTTTCCAAGATTAAGGTAGCTTGAATTTTGTGTTTTATGATTAATGAATAAACACAACGTCATGTCTGTTTAGTTAGCAAGAAATGTGTTGTATCTGGGATTTCATATTTTCTACATTTTTTTTTTAATTATTAATTAAAATCTCAACAAATTTTTATTTTTTGTACTGTGAGTTTCTTAATATTTTTCAGTTATTCAATGTGGCAACATATTGCTTGCAACAAGCTTCATTTGTCTGAAGATCTTGCCTGGATGTAAGTTAAGAAAATTAACACCTTCACAATATTTATCACCAGTTACTATGTTTAAAACCTAACTTACTTATTTTATCTTATTTTATATTACAAGATTAACAGGGCATGATGTCTACGACCTTTTTTAACACTGGGTCAAAATGTCCATAGCTTTAAATGTTCTGAACCCTTTACAGGTATTTCCACACCTGTCAGTTTTTCACAGAGAACCCTTCACCGATAGAATGTATAGAAAAAGATGAAATGTTTGCTCTATGCAAGGACCAGCATGAAAAAAGTATGTTTCTCTGTATAAGATGCATTATTTTTATTTATATCTGGGCCATGTTTGTTTTTGAATCAACTGTCAGTTTATAAAAAAAAATTAAAACTTTAGTAAAGGATAGAATCAAATGAAGGCTGTTTTTAATCATTATTTCTGGGCTTATAGAGAATTATTAAATTTAAATTAAAAGTTGTAGTATAACAATAATTAATTTATAAAAATATCAACTATAGGTTTGTGATTTACATTATTATTCAAATATAATTATCTTTGTTAAAATTGTTATAATTTTGAAGATATTTAGTGTAATAAAACACCTTTCTGCTAGTTGTTCAAAAGGTGACTTTATTTCTTAAACTTGTGAAATATTTTCAAGACAAACCTTTTAAAATTTTAAATAAAATTAAATGTGTACAGTTGTGATTTTAGACTGCTGTCTTGTGTCAACAGATAAACTTGTGGCCCATGAATCAGTAAACCTCTACAAGTTTGTGATTTTCCTGAGCATGCAACAGCTGTACAGAATGTCACTGAGAACATCACTAGTTGCTGGTGATGAGTATCCTGGTTCTCTAAGAAATGTTATTTTTAGAAACTTAAAATTAAAAATGCAGTGGACTTATTAAAAAACAGGAGTTTTTTTAATATTTGTTTTCAATAAGTAACAAAGTGGTGCTATTTTTTTTATAGGTTATGAGGCGATTGATGAAGCATTGAGATTTAGGCATTTAAATTTTTTTTGTGAAATTAGAAGTATTTATAGTTATAGAGTCACCAAATTAATACTTAATATTTATTTGTTTTCATACGTTTTCCTGCTTTGGTTTTTAGTAAGAAAGAATTTAGCTCACACTTGGGATATAGCCACACTTACCATTGCATTAAATGGTTTTGAAAGAATTTAGCTTATACTTGGGATATAGCCAAGCTTACCATTGCATAAAATGTTTAAAATGGAATTATAAGGTGTGATTTCGTATTGAGTGTAAAATTGATTTTTTGGAAAACAGAAAAAATATTAAAAGAATAAATTAAGAGTTAAAGTTATACCAATACCAGTTTACCAAAATACTTAACTGTTTGCTAAGATGGCCAAGCACATCTAGCTCTGCAACAACTTGTGATTTGGATGGTCGGTCTACACCCAGAGGGGGTACCACTAAGGTAAAAATTGGTTTTAATTTTTTAAATTTTTTTTGGGATATACAAAAAGAGTTTTTTTTTTAAATTAATAAAACGGCAGGAAAATACTAAAATTGCAATTAGTAACTTTAATCTTTTCATACATGTTTCATAGAATAGATATGAAAACTATATGTCTACATTTGTTTTATAGTGTAATTTATTTAAGCTAATTAATGGCTAATGCTATCTCACTTTAGATCACAGTTAATCTATCTAGAGAATTAGCATTTTAAGGAACAATTCTAGTAAAATAATGTAAATTATAAAAGTATTCAGCATTAAAATTATGCAGTTTGAACAAACATAAGGACAATTGTACATGTTTTTTGTAAGAGCTTTTGTTGTTTTTATTGACCAGTCTCTGGATGATCACAGCCACCAGCTCTTTGTACAGAACAACATTGGTGAACTTACAGATCTGATATCTGATGAAGGTGGGTGCTATATATGTACTATATATATATATATATATTTACTTATTTATTATATGTAACGTCTCCCTTAATATAATTATTAATGTAAATCAGCTCCTTGTTTGTCCTTAGATTAATAAATCTGTTACAATATTTAAACTGATGTTCCTATCTCAGACAGCAAAATGTCAGGTGTCGGTCTAGCTAGCGCAACAAAACATTTATCACTAGAGGCTATTGAAGCTCTGGGCTTCGTCTTAATTGGCAGGGTGGAGAACTCATCGTAAGTCTTTTAGTTGTTATCTAAAATTTATTGTCTAAATTTCTCCTTGAAAGCTAAGATTGTGAATTTTTTCTATGCTTTGTTTATTTCAAAATAAATTTTCTAAATTGCAAATTACTTTATTTTTGGCGATCAGTATTTCTTATGCTTTGTTAATTTTTTAAAAATTCCTTTTAATTATGATTAATTATGATTCATTTTTTTCATCAGCTCGTTACACTCCTTACATGACCTGGCACTCTTGCAAGTAGTCCAACAGCAGACAGGATATCAAAAGGTTGTTGACCTCTGTGTATTCAACTTCTCTCACCCATTGTTGCGAACTGTATATTTAAATATTAAATCTTCATTTTTAGCAATATATTAGAAAAATGTTACTCAGAGATTTTATAAACCCAAAACATAAACTCCTGCTTTCTTATACCTATACTAGTCATTGTATTTTTTTACTAGAACTTTGTATGCTGAAACATTATAACACTCTTGATTTCATTCTTCTTTTTAACATACATTTACCCTTTTTACAAGCATTAATCCCACATCCTTGCACCTATGTCTTACACGTCAATTCACTTTGTTATTTTGCATGTGTATATTCCACATAAATTCATAATATATTTTCAACGTCTCATGTATTTGTTCAACATGTCCCATGTATTTGTTCCATGTAGGCAACCAGATCTTTCCCCACACGACAGTTCACCATGTGGCTGAAAGAATGTCTCATACAAAACCCATTCAATGTCTCCGCTTGTATAGCCTCAGGGACAAGGCTGTCTTGGCCTTTCATTGGTAATTCTTTGGTTAGATCAAATTAAAACTAACCCCTACACTAATAACCATGCTTTTGTCCCTTTATCCCCATATCTTACCCAAGGGACTTAAGTAAAATCCCTCTAATAAAAATATTTGTTCCTTTTTATAAATAAAATAAATCTGAACCCTTTCCTAGCAAGTAAAGTTTTTAGCAGGAATTCTAGTACAGGCGAGATTATTTTAATATCTTAAGTTTGGAACAATATAATCTGCATATTAGTGCAATAATTATTAATTTCTTACATGTTCACTCTAAATAAAACTTAATAAAAATGCTGAGTTTTTGGATGGTTGAGAATACAGATGTCTAATAATAGACTCTTCTGAAAAAAGGTGTGTCAGGTTGTTAGTAATCTCAGCTAGTTCTGTGGTTAGAAATTAGGGTTAGGTGTATGGGTAGGACTAGGTTTGGAGTTAGGGATAGGGTTAGCATTGACATTAGCAACCTAACACCCCTTTAAAAGATTCTATTATCTGACTATGGTATAAAAAAATCCCCTAAGTATTTTTATTGTAAATGAACTGGCATTCCATAAAGTTTATAAAATGTTTATAAAGGTAAAAAAAAATTCAACACAATTTTGTTGCACTTAGAATATGAGGCAGCCCTTTGTCCCAAAATCAATACTACCAGCATGCTTATTTGTCATATAAGCTTAGCAACATCAAATAAAAATTTAGCATTATCACTTGATAAACTTCTATAGAACAACTTCACAAGTAATAGATCCTGTACCCACATTTTTAGGTGAAGATCAGAAATCCGAGCAGAGTCACAAACGTGGAAAAATTGCAACAAATGCACATTTGGTGCCTAAAGATCACATCAAAGGGTAAGAGTTAAATATTGCTTGGAAATATCTTACTGTATAATTAAATATCTTTCAAATTATGTATAACATCTGTTTCTGACAATTAGATTTTGTCATTCATTTTTTAAAAAAATATTCATATCCACAGCAACAAGATGATAATAATGAGTCAAGTCAGTAAACAAACAATAGCTAGGGTAAGTTTAAAAATTGTGCAAAGTAATTTAAGTTAATAATGTTTACATTATTGTGTATCCAACATTTGTTACTTTAGAACATCTATAGCAAATCACTGTAATAGGGTTTAAATTGGTATTGGCTTCTACAAGTTGGGTTATGTTTTTTTGTTTTGATTTGATTTTATAAAAAATAAAACTACTTAAGTATGTGTGATAATGTGCTAAACAGTACACACTACTGTTCATTATTTATTGTTAAAATCAGATAGCAATTTCAGTATTTATAACTTATGCTTGCAAGTTGATATACTTTTCAAATAATTCTAAAATTTACACACAATGACAAACAGTTGGTTTACATTTAGGTTATTTTTTGGAAGTTTATCTGCCTTAACCGTTACCTTAAAACTCCATTAGCCTTAACCCCATTGCTATAATGGTAGGAAAAAGCACATTATCTTATTTCCCCTGCTGTCATTCACAATACTTTTTCTGTTAATATACAGATACAGGGAGATAATTTCTTTTTGTTTCCCCAGAGTTCAGGTACCTTAGAGATGAGTACAGTGAAGATACATCGCAGCCATCACTCATATCTATACCTGTTGTCTCCCCTCAGGTACCTACACCAACTTTGTGTTTATTTTACAGCTGTTTGTTTATGTTAAGGAGGTGGATGATAAAAAGATTGTTTATTTTTTCAGGTCTGTGACCATTGAGAAATGTCGAAACACAACACTTATACTAGGACCAGTAGAGGCCACAGTGCATGTCAGTGGGTGTGAGAACGTGACTATCATAGCACCATGTAGGAACTTGATGATCAGGTCAGTGTTGTGTAAATTTGATGATAAAGGTCAGTGGTTGTAGAAACTTGATGATCAGGTCAGTGGTTGTAGGAACTTGATGATCAGGTCAGTGGTTGTAGAAACTTGATGATCAGGTCAGTGGTTGTAGAAACTTGATGTAGAAACTTGATGATAAGGTCAGTGTTTGTAGAAACTTGATGATCAGGTCAGTGGTTGTAGAAACTTGATGATAAGGTCAGTGGTTGTAGAAACTTGATGTAGAAACTTGATGATAAGGTCAGTGTTTGTAGAAACTTGATGTAGAAACTTGATGATAAGGTCAGTGTTTGTAGAAACTTGATGATCAGGTCAGTGGTTGTAGAAACTTGATGTAGAAACTTGATGATAAGGTCAGTGTTTGTAGAGTCTTGATGATCAGGTCAGTGTTTGTAGAAACTTGATGATCAGGTCAGTGGTTGTAGAAACTTGATGATCAGGTCAGTGGTTGTAGAAACTTGATGATCAGGTCAGTGGTTGTAGAAACTTGATGATAAGGTCAGTGGTTGTGTAAATTTAATAAGGTCAGTGGTTGTAGAAACTTGATGATAAGGTCAGTGGTTGTAGAAACTTGATGATCAAGTCAGTGTTTGTAGAAACTTGATGATAAGGTCAGTGGTTGTAGAAGGTTGATGATCAGGTCAGTGGTTGTAGAAACTTGATGATCAGGTCAGTGCTTGTAGAAGGTTGATGATAAGGTCAGTGGTTGTAGAAGGTTGATGATCAGGTCAGTGGTTGTAGAAGGTTGATGATAAGGTCAGTGGTTGTAGAAAGTTGATGATCAGGTCAGTGGTTGTGTAAATTTGATAAGGTCAGTGGTTGTAGAAACTTGATGATCAGGTCAGTGGTTGTAGAAACTTGATGTAGAAACTTGATGATCAGGTCAGTGGTTGTAGAAAGTTGATGATAAGGTCAGTGGTTGTAGAAACTTGATAAAGTCAGTGGTTGTAGAAACTTGATGATCAGGTCAGTGGTTGTAGAAACTTGATGATAAGGTCAGTGGTTGTGTAAATTTAATAAGGTCAGTGGTTGTAGAAACTTGATGATAAGGTCAGTGGTTGTAGAAAGTTGATGATAAGGTCAGTGGTTGTAGAAACTTGATGATCAGGTCAGTGGTTGTAGAAACTTGATGATCAGGTCAGTGGTTGTAGAAACTTGATGATCAGGTCAGTGGTTGTAGAAACTTGATGATCAGGTCAGTGGTTGTAGAAAGTTGATGATAAGGTCAGTGGTTGTAGAAACTTGATAAGGTCAGTGGTTGTAGGAACTTGATGATAAGGTCAGTGGTTGTAGAAAGTTGATGATAAGGTCAGTGGTTGTAGAAACTTGATAAGGTCAGTGGTTGTAGAAACTTGATGATCAGGTCAGTGGTTGTAGAAACTTGATGATAAGGTCAGTGGTTGTGTAAATTTAATAAGGTCAGTGGTTGTAGAAACTTGATGATAAGGTCAGTGGTTGTAGAAAGTTGATGATAAGGTCAGTGGTTGTAGAAACTTGATGATCAGGTCAGTGGTTGTAGAAACTTGATGATCAGGTCAGTGGTTGTAGAAACTTGATGTAGAAACTTGATGATCAGGTCAGTGGTTGTAGAAACTTGATGATCAGGTCAGTGGTTGTAGAAACTTGATGATAAGGTCAGTGGTTGTAGAAACTTGATGATAAGGTCAGTGGTTGTAGAAACTTGATGAGAAAGGTCAGTGGTTGTAGAAACTTGATGATCAGGTCAGTGGTTGTAGAAACTTGATGATCAGGTCAGTGGTTGTAGAAATTTAATGTCAGTGGTTGAAGAAACTTGATGAGAAAGGTCAGTGGTTGTAGAAACTTGATGATAAGGTCAGTGGTTGTAGAAACTTGATGATCAGGTCAGTGGTTGTGTAAATTTGATAAGGTCAGTGGTTGTAGAAACTTGATGATAAGTTATATTGATTGATTGATCTCCACTGAAACAAGTCTGTTCTGTGGTACAACTTTGTTCTGTGGTACAATTTTGTTCTATGGTACAACTTTGTTCTATTGGTACAATTTTGTTCTGTGGTACAACTTTGTTCTGTGTTACAATTTTGTTCTGTGGTACAATTTTGTTCTGTGGTACAACTTTGTTCTGTGGTACAATTTTGTTCTGTGGTACAGCTTTGTTCTGTGGTACAAATTTGTTCTGTGGGACAATTTTGTTCTGTGGGACAATTTTGTTCTGTGGTACAGCTTTGTTCTGTGGTACAGCTTTGTTCTGTGTTACAATTTTGTTCTGTGGTACAGCTTTGTTCTGTGGTACAACTTTGTTCTATGGTACAATTTTGTTCTGTGGTACAATTTTGTTCTGTGGTACAACTTTGTTCTATGGTACAATTTTGTTCTGTGGTACAATTGTGTTCTGTGGTACAATTTTGTTCTGTGGTACAACTTTGTTCTGTGGTACAATTTTGTTCTGTGGTACAATTTTGTTCTGTGGTACAACTTTGTTCTATGGTACAATTTTGTTCTGTGGTACAATTTTGTTCTGTGGTACAATTTTGTTCTGTGGTACAACTTTGTTCTGTGGTACAACTTTGTTCTATGGTACAATTTTGTTCTGTGGTACAACTTTGTTCTATGGTACAATTTTGTTCTGTGGTACAATTTTGTTCTGTGGTACAATTTTGTTCCGTGGTACAACTTTGTTCTGTGGTACAACTTTGTTCTGTGGTACAATTTTGTTCTGTGGTACAATTTTGTTCTGTGGTACAACTTTGTTCTATGGTACAATTTTGTTCTGTGGTACAATTTTGTTCTGTGGTACAATTTTGTTCTGTGGTACAACTTTGTTCTATGGTACAATTTTATTTTCTGTGGTACAGCTTTGTTCTGTGGTACAGCTTTGTTCTGTGGTACAACTTTGTTCGGTGGTACAACTTTGTTCTGTGGTACAATTTTGTTCTGTGGTACAATTTTAGTTAAAAATGTTTTGTGTGGGACTAGGACAACTTTGCTCTGTAGAACAACAGTGTTCTATGCAGCAACATGTAAGCCCCACTTATATAGACCCCCCCCCCCCGACCTTCTGTACCCTCCCCAGTGGATCCACCCTGTGTACCCTGTACCTGCTGACCCCCCAACCTTCTGTATCCTCCCCAGTGGATCCACCCTGTGTACCCTGTACCTGCTGACCCCCCAACCTTCTGTATCCTCCCCAGTGGGTCCACCCTGTGTACCCTGTACCTGCTGACCCCCCAACCTTCTGTATCCTCCCCAGTGGGTCCACCCTGTGTACCCTGTACCTGCTGACCCCCCAACCTTCTGTATCCTCCCCAGTGGGTCCACCCTGTGTACCCTGTACTTGCTGACCCCCCACCAACCTTCTGTATCCTCCCCAGTGGGTCCACCCTGTGTACCCTGTACCTGCTGACCCCCCACCAACCTTCTGTATCCTCCCCAGTGGGTCCACCCTGTGTACCCTGTACCTGCTGACCCCCCAACCTTCTGTACCCTCCCCAGTGGATCCACCCTGTGTACCCTGTACCTGCTGACCCCCCACCAACCTTCTGTATCCTCCCCAGTGGGTCCACCCTGTGTACCCTGTACCTGCTGACCCCCCAACCTTCTGTACCCTCCCCAGTGGATCCACCCTGTGTACCCTGTACCTGCTGAACCCCCAACCTTCTGTATCCTCCCCAGTGGGTCCACCCTGTGTACCCTGTACCTGCTGACCCCCCAACCTTCTGTACCCTCCCCAGTGGATCCACCCTGTGTACCCTGTACCTGCTGACCCCCCAACCTTCTGTATCCTCCCCAGTGGATCCACCTTGTGTACCCTGTACCTGCTGACCCCCCAACCTACTGTATCCTCCCCAGTGGGTCCACCCTGTGTACCCTGTACCTGCTGACCCCCCAACCTTCTGTACCCTCCCCAGTGGATCCACCCTGTGTACCCTGTACCTGCTGACCCCCCAACCTTCTGTATCCTCCCCAGTGGATCCACCCTGTGTACCCTGTACCTGCTAACCCCCCAACCTTCTGTACCCTCCCCAGTGGATCCACCCTGTGTACCCTGTACCTGCTGACCCCCCAACCTTCTGTACCCTCCCCAGTGGATCCACCCTGTGTACCCTGTACCTGCTGACCCCCCAACCTTCTGTATCCTCCCCAGTGGATCCACCCTGTGTACCCTGTACCTGCTGACCCCCCAACCTTCTGTTCCCTCCCCAGTGGATCCACCCTGTGTACCCTGTACCTGCTGACCCCCCACCGCCCACTACTTCTGAGTGGCAATGACACCATCATGCTGGCGCCCTACCACACCTTCTATGCCAGTCTGGAGGAGCACATGGTCAAAGCTGGCATTAGCACGGCGCCAAATCTGTGGGACCAGCCACTTTGTATAGGCAAGTTTTTGTTAACTTCAATAAGATAGATTATAAATTCATGAAATCAAACGGGGTTGGCGTGGTCGAGTCGGTAAAGCTCATGGTTGCTAAACTGAGAGAACTCGAGTTTGAACCCTCGGGCAGATGAGGCTCGTTAGCTGGGGACAGCCACTCTTCTAGGAGAGACAACTCCAAAATCATACAACTGCTGCCTTGTAGTTTGTTCTTGGTTGGACAAAGGCTATGGAAGCAAATCCAAAAAGAAAAGCAGGCTGAAGTCTGAGTCTATGGCCTCGATAGCGCATAACCAGTTTACACGTATACAAATTGTGTTGGAGGGGATCCCTCTAACACTAAAATTAAGAACGAAGAAGAAGAAACATTCTATATAAGCAGGTTTTTTTCAAACAATGTGTGTGTTAGCCCTATACAACCTTGCCCTCCACCCCACTTACACATTGTGTGACAAAAGTCAGAAAGACAAAGTAAAATGTATCCCCACCTTGGTATTTTATTTTGAGTGCCTCCTCAGTTTTATCGACCAATGTCTACAGTATTGCTAGGATACTAGCCTGGGGATAGTCAGGTTACCTATTCCCAGTTGACTGTACAATTGACTGGGATTAAATTTGATGTCTATTTGATGTTAGTAACATAGTTACTAGACCATCCCATCATTTCACCTGTTTGTAACATTGTTACTAGACCATCCCATCATTTCACCTATTTGTACCATTGTTACTAGACCATCCCATCATTTCACCTATTTGTAACATTGTTACATGACCATCCCATCATTTCACCTGTTAGTAACATTGTTACTAGACCATCCCATCATTTTACCTGTTTGTATGATTGTTACATGACCATCCCATCATTTCACCTGTTAGTAACATTGTTACAGGACCATCCCATCATTTCACCTGTTTGTAACATTGTTGCAGGACCATCCCATCATTTCACCCGTTTGTAACATTGTTACAGGACCATCCCATCATTTCACCTGTTTGTAACATTGTTACAGGACCATCCCATCATTTTACCTGTTTGTAACATTGTTACAGGATCATCCCATCATTTCACCTGTTTGTAACATTGTTACAGGACCATCCCATTATTTCACCTATTAGTAACATTGTTACAGGACCATCCCATTATTTCACCTATTAGTAACATTGTTACAGGACCATCCCATCATTACACCTGTTGTAACATTGTTACTAGACCATCCCATTATTTCACCTATTAGTAACATTGTTACAGGACCATACCATAATTTCACCTATTAGTAACATTGTTACAGGACCATCCCATTATTTCACCTATTACTACTATTAGTAACTCTATTACAGGACCATCCCATAATTTCACCTATTAGTAACATTGTTACAGGACCATTCCATCATTACACCTGTTACTAACATTGTTACATGACCATCCCATCATTTCACCTGTTTGTAACATTGTTACAGGACCATCCCATTATTTCACCTATTAGTAACATTGTTACAGGACCATCCAAGTATTTCACCTATTAGTAACATTGTTACAGTATCCATCCATCATTTCACCTGTTGGTAACATTGTTACAGGACCATCCCATAATTTCACCTATTAGTAACATTGTTACAGTATCCATCCATCATTTCACCTGTTTGTAACATTGTTACAGGACCATCCCATCATTTTACCTGTTTGTAACATTGTTACTAGACCATCACCTGTTTGTAACATTGTTACAGGACCATCCCATAATTTCACCTATTTGTAACATTGTTACTGGAGCATCCCATTATTTCAACTATTAGTAACTCTATTACAGGACCTGACCACAGAGATGACCAACCAGTATGGCAGATCCTACCTGAGTCAGAGTTTTATCCCTTCTCTGTGCCATTTGAAATGCAAGGTTCAACAAAGGTAAGTGGGCAGGTGACTTTATACATAAGTACCTGAACATACTTGACTTAGCTTCAATTAGGTTTAGCAATAGATTTTAACCTTTTTTCTATTCTTGTTAACTTTATTTATATTTAAAAATTTCTGGATACCCATGGCATCCAACAATTTATTATTGTTAAATTAATTATTTATTTATACAACAATTATCACTATCATTAGGGTGTTGCATGGGTTTTTAAACTTCATTATTATTGAAAGGAAGGTATGGTCAGCACTATGGCCAGCCGCTTTTACTTCCCCCAATGTAGGTCAGGTACCCATAAGAGCTGAGTTTAGTCACGGATGTCCTACAATCACAAGTCTGAACTGAGATCCAAACTTGAGACCTTTGGGCGAGCAGCTAAAAGCTCTACCACTTGACCATGCTATCCCACCATGTTCTGCTATAGTTAAGTTTATTTAAACAACACTTGATTTAAAGAAGAAAATATTCCAGGCTATCCCTGGCAGTCTGCCTTCCTACTATCAGAAGGAGCTGAACAAGAGGCAGAAGCAGATTGACACCTGGCAGCACATGGTCAAGGATGCCGGACTTTCCAGAGAGCAGAGGAAAGAGTTCCAGACTTTGGTGGAGTCAAGGTTTCATGTGAGTTGTAAACTTGATGTTAGTGGGGTTACGGTTTCATGTGAGTTGTAAACTTGACATTAGTAAAGGTTTCATGTGAGTTGTAAACATGACATTAGTAAAGGTTTCATGTGAGTTGTAAACTTGACATTAGTGGGGTCAAGGTTTCATGTGAGTTGTAAACTTGACATTAGTAAAGGTTTCATGTGAGTTGTAAACTTGATGTTAGTGGGGTCAAGGTTTCATGTGAGTTGTAAACTTGACATTAGTAAAAGTTTCATGTGAGTTGTAAACTTGATGTTAGTGGAGTCAAGGTTTCATGTGAGTTGTAAACTTGACGTTAGTGAGGTCAAGGTTTCATGTGAGTTGTAAACTTGACGTTAGTAAAGGTTTCATGTGAGTTGTAAACTTGACATTAGTAAAGGTTTCATGTGACTTGTAAACTTGACATTAGTAAAGGTTTCATGTGAGTTGTAAAC